TACCCGCGCAATACTTTTAAGGAAGCTAGCACAGAATTTCTTAACATACATCACGTAATGTAGTGACCACTAAGGACTCAATTCGTTTACGTCACAGGTGGGGGGGGGGGGGGTACAGTTAACGTGATGCAACCCAACACTTGCGCTCAGTGGCCCCCTTTTGCATCAATAAATAAAGTCGCGACCAATCCTGGTTGACATCGAGGGGGTGGGAGCAGAGGGCTCTGAAACTTTTTGCAGCAGTTGACATTGAAGAAATGTCACCTACAGAAAGCAACGATAAATTACGGCATTGCCTATGGCTGTACGCTACAAACCTGATTTCAAGGGCACAAGGGAGAAAAAATGAGATGCTTTTTTGCTTCAAACTTCTTGAGTTAATTCGAGGTTTACAATGGGGGAGTGGAAGGTGTTGGCATGCCTGGACCGAATAAATGTATCCAAAAAGTGTATGTTATGAATGAGTAAAATTGCTAAAACATTAGAAAGAGTTATAACAATAGGTTTTACCCTTTCTGGCAATAAAACAGGTGTCAAGATGTTAAAACACCAAACAATCCTTATTCAAGGAATCCTGTCTGCATTAACCACATGTACATGTGGTGAACATGCAAACAAAAGACATGCTCTGATATCATATGCTTTGTCTTTGAAACGGATTGGTCCACACCAGAGACAGCTTTCCTTGAATAAGGATTCTGTTTGGTGTTTTAACATCTTGACACCTGTTTTATTGCCAGACAGTGTAAAACCTATAATATTTTAATACTGGCAAGAAAGGTCCCATATTAGGAAGATCTATTGTAATAATATTTTGACCTTAATCGTAAAGGAAATTGTTTGGACTTGGTTATTCCTAAATAAAAGGTAACTTTTTTTGAGCTTAGTTTAGTCATGAACTCTGAACCCACAAACACCATGTGACGCACCACGTGACTCGAACGTTAAGACGCTCCACTGATGGTGCGGACCGATTTTTACATAATCTAATGAACGTGAACGCCAGTATAAATTCCCGTGAGAACCCAGTCAAAGAAGCAATGGGGTTTAAACACCAACCTGTGAAGTGGGCATCGTATTGCCTCTGCTGCTGCCAATTCTCTGTGTGTAGCATATTAATTACCATTCTGTTGTTCATTGATTGCCTACTTGCCTCAATCATGTTAGCCACTAAGTGGCCAAATCACCTGTAATATAAAATCTATGGATTTTTTTGTTTAGCTTTTGTAGCCGGCTATCCTGTTGGCAGTGCACATGAGCACGTCATGTTTAAGTGTAAATATGAATCTGCGGTTACCCTGTCTCGTGCACATACATGGTTCAGAAGAAAGGCAGTGGCTCTGGAAGGCTTGTGTTATGGAAGCTTTTTCTCTTCTTGGTTCTTTCGGTAAAGTCACGTAGAATGGAAATAAAATAATAAAAATAAAACATAATAAAATTCTCACGACGTTTTGGCCACAACACAAGTAGCCTTCTTCAGGTGAAGAAACAGAACTGTCCAGAAGACAGCGCTTGAGTGAGCACTGCCAAGCAAGTGCAGTGTCTTTTAAGCTGTGTGGGAGGAATTCACATATGAATAGGGACAAGCTTCGGTACGGAGGAGGGGGGGGGTAAAAAAGGGATACAACAAAACCACCACGGTGCTCTGTCTTGTGTTGCGTTATAACTGTGCTCTAAACTGGACTACTTTACAATATTATACCTTTCAATCTAAACTACATGATATAATATCATATCCATGGACAAATTCCACCTTTGAATTATACAATGCGTTACTCTACAATACCCTATACTTTAGACTATCAAATATTAGACTTGTAATGTTTTGTCTTATTCTATCAACCCTACTGTATACCACATTGCTGTATATTCACTATACAATTATGATACTATATATTGCCCCATGAATTATGTTAAACATTACAATGTTATACTATTTATTATTATACAACATGCTATAAGCCATACCATTGACCGTCGTGTGAAAGGTATTAAGAGGCAGTACCTGCGAATGGACTGCGGTCTGAAGGTCACCGTAAAATACGATAAATTAAGAACCGAAATGGTTTATAACATCGTTCCAATGGTTACTAAGCCAGAATCCATCTTCTCGGTTGAAATTGTCTCTGTGTTTGTATATGTGGATGGCCTCATGAACGAATCTCTCATGGTAGCTGGAATGCTTGCAGAGAACTTCCGTCTTGGAGAAGTCAATGTCATGTGAGCCCACTGAATTATAACAGTGATCTGCCACAGCCGAGGAGTTAGTCCTACCGTGTTTCAAGTCTGCTTTATGTTCACGGATGCGGTCCGAGATATGTCGTTTGGTTTCTCCAATGTAGCTGCTACCAGAGGCAACTTAGTTTGTAAATGCCCGGGTACTGTATGTCTGGAACCACATCTTTTACAGACAGAACCAGATCACGGATTTTATGTACTGTGTTGAATCGGACCCGGATCTTGTGTTTACTCAGGATTTTGGAGATCTTTTTGTGACCCACGCAATGTAGGGTAAGGTGATGGTTTTGAGTGGCTCCTCAAGAGGATCCTTTCTCATGACTGGAGTGATGGCTTTGCGGATTGTGTAGTCGGAGTAACTATTAGCCTTGAGAGCTTGGTGTATGTGCTTGAGTTCACTGGCAATGTGTTCCTGGTCGGAAATGCATTGGGCTCTATGGTCATAGAGTCTTGATGAGGGAGTTCTTCTGGGATGGATGGTGGTGGGAATCCGCTTTTAAGTAAGCATCCGTATGGGTAGCTTTCCTGTAGACAGAGTGGCTCATTGAACCATCATGTCTCCTTTTAATTAGTACATCCAAAAAGGGTAGATTGCCATCTTTTTCGACTTCCATGGTAAATCTGATGGCTGGGTGTATGGAATTGATGTGGTCGAGGAATTGGTCTAGAGCAGGCCGGCCATGTGGTCAGATGAAAAAAGTGTCATCCACGTACCTCTTCCACAAGGTCGGGCGTAGAGTGGCAGTCTGGATGGCGTCAGTTTCAAATTTCTCCATGAACACGTTGGCTACCACCGGAGATAGGGGGGGAGCCCATTGGGGTGCCCTCAGTTTGTTTGTAGAAAGTTCCATTCCAGGTGAAGTATGTGTTGGTTAAGCAGTGTCTCACCAGGGGGGGTACATCAATATGCAGTCCTTGATGAACCATGCCAATTCATGTAAATTCCGCCCACACAGCTTATAAGACGCGGTTCATGCTTGGCAGTGTTCACTCAAGCGCTGCCCTCTGGACAGTCCTGTTTCTTCACCTGAAGAAGGCTACTTGGGTTGTGGCCGAAACGTCGTGAGAATTTTATTTTATTATGTTTTATTTTTATTATTTTATTTCCATTCTACGTGACTTTACCGAAAGAACCAAGAAGATGAATTCCTGCAGTCACGAAAGCTTTAAATTGGGAGCTTTTCTGTTGAGGAAGCAACATGTAGCACTAGTTTTTTGGGGGATAGGAGTGCCTTGCAAGCAAAAGCATGAAAATGGCAGCAACATTAATCAGTGATAAGTGTGTTTTTAACCTCATTAATTAATTTCTCGTCTTAAGCTCATGATGCATACATCACATCGTGCGTTTAATATATACAATCAGTTATTTCAGATTTATGAGACTATAACATTCAGGATAAAGAAACGAGTGACTTAACAGATGTGGTTAAAACAAATTATATCGAATAAAAATCACGTGATAGAAAAATAATTGAACCTTGAACCAAATCAAGACCACATTCTAACGTTTTGATTATTGGCAGGGGATTTGATGACTCATCATGACAAATACATTTCCATTAATGGAGTCTGAGCCGGGCTCCACGCCAAGTAGATGTGGACCAAACTTGTTATGTCCGTCACAAATAGTGCACGTTATAAGTGTATTGACAGGGTGACACCTGCCGGCCTGTAGGGGTAATTACGGTTATGGCTGCATTACATAATGCCTTATTATAAGGGGGGTCGTATCTGGGGTAAAGGTGAAGGATGGAGTCGGTCGAGAAGCTCCGAGAACCAGCCCGAAGGTTCTAGAAAGGGGGCGTGGCCAGAGGTGCAGCTTGGCCGCGCCGGGCAGATATAAGGGGGACTGGACCAGAGGTTCGGGGCTGTTTTGCGGGTCCTGGCTACATCCCTGCTCGTCGTCATTTCTTCGGCTTGGACCACGTGGCTGTTCTTCTGCAAGACCATCTCCGTCGCCGCCGCTACGCTAGTCGAACAGCTAGTGTCGTGTATGACGGAGATGGGCTGCGTGTTAGGATCGCCTGTGTGTAGCTGCGTTACGAGGTGTATCGCCCCGTGTGCTCTTAATAAATAAGAAGCCTTCTACTCGACGTGTCTCGGAACTCGCTCACTACAGAAGTATTGTTTCATTACACTGTGTAACAAAAATATCTTTTTTTGTTCCTGGGTAGTGTTATTTCCTAATTGCTTATGCCTCGAAAGTACAGAAAATGGCTACGATTCCCCACAAATTTTTCTGTTGTGACCAGGACAGTGATATTTAGAAATTTACCTATTTTCAATGAGAAAACGTGTGCATTTGTCTTTCGTTCACATAAAGTTCTGGTCACAAAAGCAAAGTTTGTGGGGAATAATAGCCATTTTCTATACTTTTTAGGCATAAGCAATAAAAAATAACACTTAGTACCCAAGAACAAAAATTGTGTTACATAGTGAATTATCAGTTCTTGTACCCTTGAGAGTGCCGTGTACATTCCTATTATAATGTTCACTGTTTCCCCACAGCATATTGAGACGCAGTCGCATTTAAGTGGTGCATAAATCCAGATTGCATCGTACTATTAACAGTGTTTGATTGTTCGCATGTATGTTTTTCCAGTGCAAAGTTGTAAAATTAACTATAATAATAACAATACATCCAGCTGTGGACATTGGTTTTGAAAATGCTCTGGCGTTGCCCACTCGTCATGCGGATGGTCCAATAGGCTAATCTGTGTTATTGTTTTCTTACCCACCCCCCCCCCCATTTGGCACAGCAGGATCTGTATATGATCTGCTTCCTAAAGAGCTGCAGCTACCCAGTAGCCCGGCTCCTGCTCCGTCGAGCCAGCCCCGAGAAGCGGGGAGCGGCATGGAGCCCATGGCTGCGCTGACTGCTGGTACGCACCACCACCTGCGCCAACCTGTGCCACACCACGTTAGCCCACCCCCTCTGACCCTCTTGCTCCAGTCGCTCGCTTGCTCGCGTTAATTCTCTTTTTTACATACAAGCAAACTCTTCCCACACCTCTACTAGAATTGCCACCTGTCTCTCTACACCTACACTTTCTGGCTGATGTGGGTTGGGTCTACGGTGATGGAGCAAGTCAGCCATCCTTCTGTCACACACTGTGTCTCGCCTCTTATCCCAGTTGCCGTCGTTAAAGTTTATTTCTTTTTTAGACCAATAACTAAAAAACACTAGGGTTCTCCGAACAGCTGTTTGGAGTATAATAAATCATCTCCCAATGAGGGAAAAAACATGCTAAGCTAGCTTCCCGATTTTTTATAATAATATTTTGGAAACCTATTAAATGAAGTGAAAGGTATTTGTTTTGCTATTTGAATAACAGACCACAAATGCCGTTGCTTTATGACGTGGTTATTTTTTAACATGGTTCCAACAATGTCAACACATGTCTGTGCAGCAGCAGTGTAATATTAAAGCTATACTGCAGATTGCTATCATATATTTTAGCCTGAAAGACTGTTCACTGAACGATTATCATACACATATTTAAAGAATTGTAATTTAAGGCAAAAGTGTAATCATTATTAAATGCTAACTAAGCATCCGTGGTTAAGTCACTGCAGCCACAGAAGTAGACGCTGAAGTGGATGACGGGCCTGTTGTTGCCTTGCAGATTTGTAAATCGCATTGGCTCCAGCTTTGTTGATCACATTTGTACTGCTGTATCGACTCTAATTATAGAGTCTTTATTTAACTTGCATCATTTGCTGGCTACTTCTTTCCTTTTGGCAGATGAGGTTTGGTAGTGATGCGCATTACCTCCCAATAATTTTTATTTTGTCATAACTAGCTGTGCACTGTAAGATCAGTTGTCGCTGCTTTTGAGACAATTTAACAGCTGTGACTTAGTTTTATTGGTGCCAATATAAATCTCCTATCTGCTTCATGTGATGTGCTAAAAGAAGGTGAACGCAAAGTCAAAAATCGAATGGTTTTCACAGATTTTACGTAATGGATAAGGTTTATGGGTGAATTAACATGAGATCTGAGCAATACAACTGCAGCAACATATGGGTACATGTGTTGAAATTGGAACTGGATGAACGAGTTGGTTTTCAGAGGCGGCATACTGTGTGTTCAGGAAAGGTGGGCAAAAATATATTTTATTGGGACTTTAAACCAAGGTAAAGCATCGGAGTGACCGAACATTTCTGAACAACTTGGCACATTAGTGGAGCCCTAATCCTAACATCTGAAGGTCTTATTTGAGAGTGGTCCGCTTTTATAATGTCATGGATGCTTTAACATCTCGATTAAGTTACGCCATTAAATGTCCCTTAAAAAAACAAGGGCTTTTACTCCAAACACGTTTCTCGTGATAGTAGCTGTACGCTAAATAATACACGCAACATGTGATCTTTGCACCTTCGGTGGCATTTTTTTGATGAAAAGTTTTTTAACATTTATTTTGCATATGTCAAGTCAAATGAAAATCTTGATGTTTTCTGCAGATCAGTCTGACACCTAACACCTAATAAACGGATGTGTTAAAACATTGACGCAAATTGTTTATCCTGATTGTTTTTGCGTTTGCTGTATGTGAAGGTTTTATTCAAATCTTCTTGGCAAAACCCCTTGCCAAGACACACCTCAGCAGGCATCACAAAATGACCCCCTGTGATAGGTAATCAGTGTATCTGAAGTTTACCATTAAAGTTTATTAGTGAAATATATGCATGTGCAAAATCTGGTTGTTGATACGTGCATCTCATATAAAAACTATTTGTCATGAAAACAATTTGAAAATATCTTAAATTGAATACAGTATATTCAAAGGGGATTGTGAATTATTTACATTTACATATCATAAAAATGGATAAATATATACATATGAATATTCTGTATATGCATTTGTAAATATATAATTTTGAGTTTTTTATATGTATGCTGCAATGATATAGAAAATTGTGCAAATGATTTGGCAATACTGAAGTGGAAATGGAGGCCGACGTATGAATAATGTTGCATACAGCATTGTTCCCTTGACGCTAAACAGCACTTGCTCATGCAAGTCACTGAACCTTCTTAGCAAAATACATTCCAGGGTATCAGTTACCTTTAAAGGAAGAAGAATAATAAGGGGTGAAATGGTACATGTGAATAATGATTAGTATTTGATTTAGTTAATCATTTCACGCATTAATAGTTGTAAATCAATCCAAGGCTCACCTTTTAATTATTTGTAATCAGTGTCACCATTTCCCAGAAAAAAAGGGAACAGTGCATGGAGTTACAACAATAATACTCGTTAGAGATATAAAAGCAATGTAATTAAATGGCCACGTAATTATTCTTTAAACAATGTATTTATCTTCCATTTCAATAGTCTATTTGTCTTGTAAAACGGCACCACAGTGTCAATTAAGCCAAATTATAGTTGATTATCTTTAAATCCATGTGATTATATATCGATATATAATCACATGGATATATATCGATATACGTTTACAAATGCATAAATTGAATAATATATGTATGTAATGGAAAAGCTGTCCAATTTAAATAAGCAATCAAATTTGCATTGCGAAATAATGCGTACGTTAAAAAAATAGCATTTTGGTTAATGACCTTAAAAATAGATGACAAATGGAGAGTTTTTGGAGAAAGAAAATGAGTGATGGGCTGTGCTGGTGCTGTACAGTCATGAGCTAAGGATAACCACTTGTACAGCGCGACATTGCCGCGTGTTGGTGCTTTAACGTGACGCGCACGACAGTGCCCGGAACTCGCAGTGTGAACCTCTTGACTCTACAGGCACCAGCCCCACCTTTCACGTGCCCATAAAAAAAAGAATCCCCTGGATGCAAGTGTTTTTTGTTTGTTTGATGGGAATGTAGTTGTTGTGCTATTAATACTTGCATTTGCATTTTAGCCCCCCTTTCTGAGACAGGCAGTCGTGCTGGGTTATGTGGCGGTGTCTGTCTCTCGTAAGTGAAGCCAATTTAATGCCAGAGACACTTTCCCAATCATTCCTACCCAGGGCATAGGTCGGTCCAATTTTAATAAAAGTATCAACCTCATAGATAAATACATATTGAGAAATACATATTTATATTTACATTCAATTTTTATTTTCATTTCCTTTTTCTGACTTCTAATGGTTGCTTTCTTTCCCTTTGTTTTCTTCTTTGAATGAGTGCTTATGAATTGATGTAATGTTTTATTTTTTATAGTGGAGTGTGAGTTCAGAGTTGTGACTAGAACTCCAGCTGAAGTTCAAAAGAGGTGCTGTGAATTGAATTACAGTAAGAACCCCGCATATCTGATCACCGTCAGCTTAAGAACTGAACCCATGTCACTTGACCGTATGGCATGTAACTCGTGACTTGCGATTGTGGCTTTGAATGCTGCGATCAAGAACCCAGCAGCGGATTTCCTCCGAGGTGCCGTGTCAGCTCGCATTTCTTTGGTGCGCACGCTCATGCGAATGCACACCGGAGCCCTGCTGTGGATCAGCTGTATGAATTACAGTGCAAATGTGTATCTGCTGTATTGCATATAGCTCACTGCCATTGCGCATTATGATTAATAATGACTCCTGAAGGCTGCCAGATGTAGGGTTTTGGTCGGTTAGTCATATGGATGTAGGTTTTACTTGTACGCTACATGATACAGCATAGCACGAACATATCATCTTCATTCGACATTGACTATCAGATAGTCCGGGTAATCAGCCTTCTGGTCTAATTTATGTGGGGTTCTGTTATCGAGTAAGGATCTCATGTTAATCACACAATTTTCTTACGCTGCTCTAATGCCCTTTTGTAATTGTGCTCATTGCACACTGAAGCTCTACTTAATTAACACCATATTATTCTGTGAGACGTGCGAGATACCAGCATGCGTTAACCCTTCCTGTAACCGTATATATGGAGATTGTATTCACACTAATTAATTGACTCGCAGTCCTCTAAGAATGCGTGCAAATTGCACAGTCAAGTGCACTGTAGTATAGAGCTTGTTTGTAAGCTGATGCTTGTTTTGAATAGAATTACGAAACTTCGTTTACAAAAAATCCCCTGCAGCTTTTGGGGCACCTGTACAGAGCAGTGGCCACCACTGACGTTTGTCATTGAGATGTTCATAATTGTTCCTCTGCTGAGCAATTAGCGGAAGCAGAGTAATTACCTCATTTGAACTTACACTGGAGTTATAACAAGTGATATTGATGTCTATCAAGTGATGAGTGAAAGGAGTGCTGATGGATATGTGGTCAGTAACATTGCAATCCATGGTTGCTGCTGAGGTCTTAACATAAAACAGATGGACACACATGCACTTGATTAAATTATTTTTGAAAACACCTCTAACAATTGTGTGCATATGGCAAATTTGTTTAATTGTCAAGTTGTTGACACTGCCACTGACTATTAAATATTGATATGCTGTTAATAACGAGTAGTTACTAATTATGTTTTAACTACTTTCTTTCTATATTCTTGGTTCTTTCGGTAAAGTCACGTAGAAGGGAAACAATAAAATAATAAAAATATAAAACAATAAAATTCTCACGACGTTTCGACGGCAACACAAGCAATCATCATCAGGTGTGAAAACCACAGCACCTGGTGACGATTGCTTGTGTTGCAGTCGAAACGTCGTGAGAATTTTGTTTTATATTTTTATTAAGCAATCATCATCAGGTGTGAAAACCACAGCACCTAATGATGATTGCTTGTGTTGCAGTCGAAACGTCGTGAGAATTGTATTGTTTTATATTTTTATTATTTTATTGTTTCCCTTCTACGTCACTTTACCGAAAGAACAAGAATATGAATCCCTGCAGTCACGAAAGCTTTAAATCCAAATTTACTTTCTATCCCTAATCCCAAGTACACAATTAGTAAGCAGTTAAAATATTTGACCCAAAATGGCTCCAGTGAAATTCCCTTTGTATGCAACCGCTGACATCTGTGGCTTGCAGGATGTGATTTTAGTGAGATTTAGTTTCAAAATAGACGAAGGTTGCCATGATGGGGTGAGTTTGTTTTGGCTGGCAAGAATTTAAAACACAGCAACGCTGTCAACCACCATGTCCAAATGAAGCTGTTGTGGGCAAAATAACACTCCCAAGTTTTCACATACTAGCAACGCAGTACGTTCCATTGGGCTGTACGGAATGCAGCTGCTGTACTTGTTTTAAAAAGAGAGGAATTCCTGCGATGATCTAGTTTCCATCTCTCTCATCGGTGGCAAAAGGAGGCATTGCCTAGTAATGTTTTATTCACGTCCTCATTATGACATGCAGTTCCAAAGCTACCCATACGGTGCTCATGGCGAAATCGAGACCCTCACCTCTTGGCTTAAATTGCCATGGCAATTACGTTTGTTTTTTAGATATTTTTGCATGCTAATGTCAGCTGGTGTTCTTCCAGGCGACAATCTGAAGGAAAGCCCCTTTAAAATTATATATAGAGCTTGTTCTAATAAAGTCTTCATCTCGGAAGAATTAAATCAATTGTTTGTTCTTTGTGTTCAGAAATCCATAGTCTGGTGTCATCAAGGTTTCTTTTATTTAGTGTTCTGAACGTGCCTACTGTGGCTTACATATTTTAATGTTGACAACTACTTACGTGTTTGTCTGTTATTTTTGGCTTTAAAACAAAGGGAATTTCTCTATAATTGGTTTCATTATTAGCCCAGGGGCAACCATGGAATGCTGTTATGTATGCTTTCTTTATCTACTTTGTGTCTAACAGGAAGGATTGATTTGTTTATTTCCTCCTTCCTTTCATTATTTCAAAATGTTTGCTTTTTGTAGGTTTTAAGTATAATGGGATGAACAATATAAATCTTAAGTTGCAGCCAGTATGCAGCAATTTATGGTAACGATTCTTGCAGAGCTTTTCGTTGGCTTTCACTTAACATAGCGGATGTTGAAAATGTAGGAGACTAACATTTAATCCGTTTTTACGAAGCAGAACATATTGCCTTAAAAATAATTTTATAATAATGCATGGCTTATAAATCACAAACTATTTTTACTGTGGCTAATTTCTGTGCTGCCTTGCTAGATTATGTTATAACAGCAGCTGTGTATTAAACGGGAGTCTACCAATTCATATGGCACTCATATACAATGATTAATGTATTTTAAATGTTAAAATAGGCTAATTTGCCATTTTAGCAGAATGTGAAATTTGAAAGGTAAATTTAGTTGACTGAAATATAATAATAAGTAATCATCACACACATGTTCAGTTTAATGAATCATGAAAACAAAATCCCTCTTATTTTTAACACTGAACATCAGTAACATTGGATATTTGTCAATTCTAAGGTGGACTTGTATGCCCTTTTGGTTTAACATTGAAAGTATCCACATAGTATGAAAGACAAGGTGTGTGTTTGGCTGTGGAAATTTGAAATGTAACCCTAAGAGAACAATGACAGATGTCACACATTCAAATGTTGAATATTAATCACTTAGTATTAACCCTTTGTGCTGTGGTGATGATTAAGCTTCTAGTGGCATGCACAAACTTTTATTTTGTAAAAAAAATCAAATTAGGCCACTTAGTATATACGTACACATATACAAATATTATTTAGCATAGGTTAGGTCCATATAATCATTGAGTTGACTCCAAATACCTGCTACCCAGAATGCAAAAAACTGGCCTTAGTTTCACTGAGATGTCTCTAGAGCTCACTCCCATGGAATGCCACTTAATCAGTAAATGTGCCTCTGTGAGCCAGCCCCTTGTAAGCGGCAGAGGCCCTCATCGGGAGGTGCGTTGTTGGATGCTGCCTACAGGACGTTTATGCTCCAGGCTGAGCCTGACGTTCTGGTTCCTTGTTCACACTCGCAATCGTACTGCGCGCCACAGATGTCCCATGCAGCAGCAGCAGCAGCGGTGCCGGCCGGCAAAGCAGCACTTCAGCTCAGCCGCCGGCACTCGCGGCCCCGGGTCCCCCCGCCAACGAGCCCGGCGCCATTACCCCAGTAGCTAGCTCCGCTTGCCAAGCACATGCGACCGCTGCGGTAAGTAGCCCCCTGGTAAGTGGCCCGCTCAGCCCCGAGCAACCATTCGCTAATGCCCCGCAGCTGGCCGCGTCGTCGGCCGCGGCCGCCGGCGCCGCCACCGCCACGCCAAAACGGCGCTCGGGCACGGCCCCGCCGCTCGTGCAGCCGCCCCCCAAGGACCTGCTCGACGACGCTAGCTTCATGTCTTGCGAGGAAGCGCCTGGCTGGGACGCCGCCGGCGTCGGGGAGGGACTCGAGCCCGCCGGCGGCGGCGGGCCCGCGACATCGGAGCTCAGTGGCAGCCTGTGGACTGAGGACTCGTGCTCCAACTTCAGCACGCTGAGCGCGGGCAGCGCCGGTCACAGTAGCTGCAGCGGCGCAGACTCGGCGGGACCGCGCAAGGCGCGCAAGGTGTCGTCCCGCCAGCACCCTGGTTCGTCGCCACCGGCGCCCAGTGACGAAGCGTCCAGCGCCGCAGCCGCCACCACAGCCATGGAGATGGTGTTTGACGCGGACAGCGCCAACGGACCGCACTACGTTCTCTCTCAGCTGGCTGCAGGGGGCGGGGACGGACAGGCCAGTCCTAAGGCCGGAGCTTTCGGCAACAACAGTGCAGGGTGAGTGGGCTAGGGGTTTGCCATTAAAAAACATTCCCTTCTCTCCTAACAAACCAAGCCCTGTACATGTGCACAAATTTGTGGTTCTGAATAGCAAGTAAGAGGAAGGATGTTACGAAACAGCAAACTATGTAGGAATTTGAGTTGAGTGTAAAGACCACCGAAGGGCAGTGCCATGGCCGTGTAGAAGCGCGTTTGCCGCTTGCAGTAGGGGTTCACGGTTTCAGCCCCGCAGCTGTCCTGGTTAATACTGTGGCTGCATTGACCCAAACATCCTTCCCAAATACCACCCATTGTTCAGCTTTGCAGTGGACGTTAAAGATCTCGCAACATTATTTGGGAAAGAATATACTATGGTGCAGATTTGCTAAATTAGAAATTACATAGAAATTAATTTGTTATAACCACATACCAATATTGCCTGCTGCTGGCAGACTATACTTGTCTGTGAAACTGCACCTTCGTGATTACCTTTACGACAGGAATGGTGTGAATACTAAATGTACTGATTGTTTGTTCAAGCCCTATGAAGTTAATGGGGTGGAGTGCTGGTGCAGTGGTTGGCAAAATGCGCCATGAACCAATCAACCTTATTTGTATTACCGCCCACAGCTTACAACAGTGGTGAATGACATCTGAACTGGTCTTGAGCCTCCCCTCACCCCCCTCCCTTCAACTTTCACTGACCAGCTTGGTGAAGTATGGCCAAAGGCGGCCTTGCGCTGAGTCGGTCATGGGGAGGCCTTAATCCAACAGTGGATTGACAAAGGGTTGTACATTTTGATTATTTTTGTGAAATGTGTGTGCATTTGACAAAAGTCAGTTTTGAAGCCCCCTGTCCACAAGAAAAATCATCCTGCATCCTTTTTGATATTAAACGTGGCCTTTAAATTCCGTTTCAAATGAACTAATTTCATACTTGTTACGTCAGAACCACAGAAATGGGTGTAACAGCTTGAATTCATTTGAGAGTCACCTTCACGGAAGTTGTGGGTGAGCTGTCAAGCACACAAGTGTTTTGTGTGTGCTGTGATGCTGCATTTTACTGAATGGTGTCTTAATAAATGAATACCCTTCATAATCATTTCACGTATTTTTTTGTGTTTGATGTGTGCTTTGTTGTGGTTTGTGCTCAAGTTACACTGTTAATTAATGATAACTATCTGTACCCTGCCTTGCCTCAAAAGAACGAGTATTTATTTTTCATTATACATGTTTATGTATTGCCCTTGATTTGCTGGCCTGTAGATATATTTGCTTTCCAGCTTTATGAATGGCATTGTAAAAAGCTGATTGATAAATGCAACAACAAAATGTTAAAAAGTACTTCCAAAAAGTACAATAAACTTACTTGTTTAACGCTTCGTGCCTTTTTATTGTCTACACGGTATGTAACAACAAGCTTGCGTGATTTTTGCAAAACGTCTTGCAAAGCATAACGTTGGGAGTTGCTACTTGCAAATGGTGCGTGTTTACCTTTCTCTGGTGAACCCTGGCTGCCAAAGCCAGGATATATATCTGGTAGCCTTCGGACACGAAAATTTAAAACAAAATATTGGCCGCTGTGATTCCTGCCAGGATTTTAGAAAGGCAAGCTTTTGGCAGCCTCTTCCTTGGCAGTGCAATTAGTGTTTAATGTAGATCACGTGCTGTGTAGTTTGTATATATGAACGGTATTTTGGCTTTTTATAGCTTGTCAGCTTCATCGCATATACACACTGTTTTTCAATTCTAAGCTGGCATAACAATTCATATCTACCAGAAGACAATGGGTGACTTGTAGTGCTGTGTATTGCAGCTGGGTTTTTTCATACCATACTAAAGAAGGTTGAGTTATCTGGCTAATCTTATATCAGCCTTCTTCACAAAAGCTCCTTTCTCCATATAGTACCATGAAAATTAAAACGTTTATTTTGTTGCATAATGCACGTTTTGTTGCCTTTCATTCTGGCCCCTGTAATTTGGCTTATCTGCTTTAAGCACGCTGTGGAATATATATCCACTGGTGACTATCAAGTAACCATTGCCAGTCACAGCTGGTGTCAAAAGAAATGCCTCCAGGTTTTGCCCATGACATCGCCAAAATAGTTCTTGCTTGCAAACTACGAATTATACTCCCAGAGGTGTGCAAGGCTTGTTGTGCTGTGGTTTCCCTATTAATGCTGCCGTGTGTTATGGGTAATCCAATTGGGAGTGCTGTATCTCGCTACGCGGGTGCTTTGTGAGCAAACGGCCTACTTTCAGAAAGATGGGCATTCCTATGCACCCTTGTAATTTTTGTGTTGTCACATTGAAGGTAAGTGACATTAACTACACATTTAACACTCTTGACGTGTCTTGTGAAAGTTTTCACTTCTTAAAGTGGGTTTTGATTGCTTGCTGCTATCACCTGAATCGCCCAAGGCAACTTAATGCCCTATCTCTACATCTTCCCCGCCCTTGCCCTCCCTTCCCTGCGAATGCCGCATGCGCGCACGTTTGGTGTGCAATGTCTTTTGCGCTCGGCAGCACCGTGAAGGGTGGCGGCCGTGAGGTGACCTCCCCGGGCAAGGCTGCGTCGCTCAGCGGTCAGTTCCCCAGCAAAGCCGACAGCATGGAGCTCAAGATCCTGGTGCAACCGGAGAGCCAGCACCGTGCTCGCTATCTCACCGAGGGTAGCCGCGGGTCGGTGAAGGACAGCACGCAGCAAGGATTCCCCACTGTCAAGGTGACTCAATGGCCACGCTGTGTTGATCGCCGTATTCCTTTTTCCACCGGCACATCCAAGTCGTGCCACGGATAAAGTGAGCAGTGGTAAAATAGTTGTGATTTTTTTTTTTTTTCCCGCTGTGTGAAAAACCCACAAATGCCACTGTCGCCCTTCACCTACTGCTGAGCGCAGAACACATTGCAAGGTTTTTCTCTGGCTATTTTGCCTTTCCGAACCAAACTGACAAATTAGTCTCACAAAACATTTTGGCTCGGGGACAAGTTGTAGGGTAGGGATAGGGCTAATGGCGTGTGCATTGCACATCGGTGTGTGATGACAGCGTTGCTAGGTCATCTGCATGCGTCGAGACTCGTTCATTTCGTCTAATGTGAGTGGCACGGCTCTGCAGTGGAAAAACCAACCCCGTGCTTCTTGATTTGCACTGCGCTGGAATCGGCATGGCACTGATGCGGCTCGGTTTCACGGTGGAAAATGGGTATTGAGTTGGACCCTACAAAACTTGCTGTGGTGTAGCGTAAAGAGAAAGACCCAACGCAGAAGATCCCTGAGTTTGATCTTCCACGAAGCTCATGGTCCACCATAAATTGCATCCGCACAAATCATGGCAGATACTCCATGCACATATGGAAAATAAAAATTCTCCAGCGTGCGACTGTGGTTATCGAGAATAAACCGTACCATGTATAATGACGCAATGCCCGATCCATAAATACGGAGACCTCACAGCGATACACTCTGTTGCTCCAGCTGTGGTTATCTGGCTTGACCACCTGAATGTAAAATTGGAGTTGTTGCTCTGCATCTCCATCAGCCGTACGAAAGAAGAAGGGCAAAGCTAACCGACTTGTTGCGCTGCTGCTCTTACAGGTGAATGGGCCTCTGTTAGCTGAGTGTGAATTTACTTGTACATTCTGGCTGGTAAGGTCGTAGGAGGTGAAGAAGGTTTAAACAGGGACATGTCTTCACAGCAGAATGCTGTACGCACAAGTTTACGCTCGGCTTAATTTTATTTTCTGACGAAAAAAATCCTTTCACAGTAGTTGTGTAGTAGTTTTGACATGTTATTTTAGTTGGGGAAGGTTAATAAAGAATCTATTCTGCAAGGAATTGGCGGAGGTGGCTCTGTGATTACCCCGACATGTGTGGCCAGTACACCATGCCAGGCGTGCAAAAAATAGCTCTGTGTAAGTCTGGTTGGCGCCACCGCTGGTAACCCTAAATACACTTGACAGCATTAATGTTTTACAGAAACTCAAGCTGCCATTCCCTGTCAGAAGGTAAACATTCAGACTTTTTTGCACGTTTGTGAGCTTTCATGCGCTGGAACGTTGCAACAATTTCACCGTCACTCACGTTACCAGTGTTGCACCTGGTAAGCAGATGTTAAGAACAAGACACCCAAAAGGTCTTACAGGTGTGTAGTGCGTGTCTGACGATGTAATGTTAAGATGAATATGAACCCTGGTTATTTTGTGTGCAGTGATTGTATTACAGATCAGAAAATTGTAATAGTGGTGTGACTGTTAAAGAGTAGAGAAGTGATTCTATGTCTCATAATCAAAAACACATGACTGCCCGTCATATACTTTTGTGCAGAATTGTGGCGAGAGCCCAATTGAACGCCGATGTCCTTAAACTATTGCAGCTTGGACTTGCTCCCCATCACCCCTTGGGAATTCAAGGTGACCTAGAAGAACCCTACTTTGACTGCAGCTAAGTAACAATTGGGTCCACATAAAAAAATAATTATACACTAAACATTGAGCATGTCAACTATAGCCGGTCCGTGCCTTCCTTTTTCACAGGTAAACAAAACTTATTTCTCTGGAGTGCTTAACATACTGCTAATCGCTCCATTGCAAACTCCTTGTGGGTGTTTTTGCTCTTTGCAAAAATGAAGTGCGCCAAAAAGCATGGAGAAGTTTACGCTTGGAAATACTTTTGAGATAAACAGGAACACATTGATTGGAGAATATATGCAGGTAAATACAATTTTTATTTTGGCTGCGAACAAAAGTAAGCAGGCTTGGGCAGGACAAGCCACGACAACGGTTGAAGGCTGATGTGAAATGATAATGATGGTGTGGCAGACGAGGGAGGGAATTCACCTGGAATCCGTGCACTGCGGAGATGGAGCGTGTGCGTGCTGGGTTGGTTGTTGCACCGCGGAACAGTGGGGGATGGCGGCATGGGCGAGACCTTCATCCAGAAATTGATTGATATGTTTTTACTTTTGTGCTGGTGTATGCTTTGGATTTAAACTTACCGAATCTTAAGATCCCCCCCTCCCCTACTTGCTTTTTATCCTTGCCCCTTGGCCCACTGTTGCTACCTCTGAGATGTTTTCTAAAGGCCCACCAGCACCCGTGCAGTGTGCCTCTTCTTGGCGAATAAAATCACCTTTCTTGCATTGCACCCCTCAAGGCAATTTGCTTTTAAAAAAATTTCCTCCCGAGTTCTGCAAACATTTTACCGCATCCCAAAGCAGAAACTACTCTGCAAAAAAAAGACTTGGCTGTGCCGTCCTGGCCAATCCGTAATTCAGGTGTTTGTGAGGTACATCCTTCCAGCCTCTGCGGTAGCACATGCTCTGGCCGCTTTATTATGAAGCTCGTGCAGCGGCAAAAGCATAGCCCCGTGAGTTGATTCAGGCCTGCCTGGACCTCGACAAAAACAAGTTCCATTGCCAAAACAAGCCCCCCCTGCAGCCAAATCCGTAGCATAACTCCGCCATTCTCACGATCCCCATGACAGAGCAAAGCATTTAAATGATCTGAACCACCAGCTAATTTGTTATACCGTATTCTCCGGATTTAAAAGATTATCTGTTTTTTCTTATTGTACTAGCTTGCTTAGTACAATAAGAAAACATTTAGCGGAGTATAATTGTATCTTGTGTCAATTTAATGGCAGTGAATCTTGCACAAAGTATGTCCTCAAACACTTCACTGCAATTCACAGTAGCACTGTATTAATGACAGTGAATCTGGCACAAAACGAAGTCATAAAATACTTCACTGCAGTTCACTGTAGCACTGTATTAATGGCAGTGAATCCTGCACAAAACTGACCTTCATTTTGTTCAAATTCACTGCTCTGTTACTTTATTCTCTTCTGCTTTTGGTCGCTGGGGTTGAAATAAATTGGAATTCGATATAATATCTGGAAAATCACCAAGAAATGTCTATTTCCGTTCGACCTGCGCGAGTCTAAAAATACACCCGGTCATCAATATTAATGACCGGGCGGGGGAGTGCGGCATGTGGAGTGACGTCACGCTCGTTACACACATAGACATTCTTGGCTCATAGAAGTAATTTTAAAGCACAAGTTGGGGGTGCCGTGCTATGAATTCGATGTGTGTTCTCTTGACCAGATGACGCCAAAAGGCACCAATTGGGTCGAGGCTCAAAAGAAAGCCGTCCCTTGGTGTGGACCAATCAGTTTCAAGGACAATGCATATATTATCATAGTCTGTTTTTTGTTTGCATTTTGACTGCAGGTATTGTGGTTAATGCAGACATGAATCCTTGTAAAAAGGATTCAGTTTTGTTGTAATAAAAAAGGGGAAAACCCTATTATTACATTGTGGTACTGGCAAAGGAGGTCTAATGATTCAGATTTGTATTGCCGCATTGACAACGGGCACAAGTTTTGGGCGTGTCTTACTTTTCCCAGTGTCTTATAATCCAGAAAATATGGTAACGGTTTGGATGGAGGAAAATATTCAGCAGTTGGCGTTCATTAGTTATGCCTTACAAATTGTCTAAATTCGGTATGCGCATTTTTGCTTAGACGTACGCCAGTTTCGGGCACGTTACTGTGTACACAGTTTAAAACGCATCAACCGCTGTCAGGATTTAAATTGTACAGTGTATCCTATTCATTTCCATTAAGCTCTATTGATGTTCCCCTCTGGTCACTGGCACTTTGAGCCGTTTCACTACAAAGGCTCACGGTTTGCCCTGAAGCTGGGCAGATTGAATGTGATTCTACTTGGCACTGTGCCATCTCATCTGCAGATCGTCCCGCGCTGCAATTGCACTGTCCCCACAAATCTGCAACCATTTGAAGGGGGGGGGTGGTTATTAGGCTTACATTCCTTTTGTGTTTTTCTTCCTCTAACTGCTGCTAAATTGGCTCAGTGTGTGGTATCATATGGTCGGCCTGTAAGCCTCAGTTGAGCTGATGCATTAATATTTTAAACACATTTCCATTGGTGCCTTTCAGAGCCCCCTCCCACCCCCCCGTGATCTCGCATAACACCCGACAACTGCGCGAACACAAACGCGCTCCACTACACTGTCGGCGTACAGTGAGTTTTGAGAGTGCCACCGGCATTAGTGGTACATAACGATCACGCTGGAACACAACAGCTGGTACTCTCGACACGACGCCTTTCTGCCATGTGATTAACGTAATACAGTCTGTTGTTCTGTAACGCGTAGTTTTCATCACGCGAGAATTGGATGCGATGTGATGGATTGAACGGAACCACGTCACGCGAGTAGAGGAATAAGCAGTTGTACGGGTGCCTCGGCGTCGTGTCACATGAGGCGGGATGCTTCTAGATGCTACCCACGTGCCTCAGTCTTTGTTCAGCCTGCATACACATCTCACGTGCTTTGCCCTATATTATTATTTACGATAACGCGATTTTTGCATAAATGAGGTGTTCTTCGGGAACGCAACTGCTGCGTTATAGCAGAACAGACTGCGTTATGAATGCATCCAACTGCAGTTGCTCGACCATTTATATTGTTATGATGTCCTTCTGTAAGCCAGTCTCTACTTAACTTCAGTTGCTAGCCTTTGTTGTCCTTCCGCTTTCTTCACATGGCGTTTTTCCTGCAAGCAGCTTGAATTCCCTGGCAGTTAATCCACCTCAAACTGTTTTTAATTAAATACAAGTGTTTAGAATTATAACGAGAGCTATTAAAAGTCTGTGACTTCATTAACCTTTATTTGCTCTGTGCCATTGGAAGCTGGGTCATTGGATTTTAATGATTATTTAATCTCCCCTTCTGATTCCGTATGAGAAGGTTTAGTGCGCAAAAATGCATTGCATATAAATTAAGTGGTCCAGGAAAAGGACATGAGGTATAGATATCACATGTGTGTAGAGTATTTTTAGTTATTTAAATAAAATTATGGATATGCTTCTGTTGTGGTTCACAAAACGTTTGTCCGATGTCTTCAGGAGGCTTTGTTTATATTAGTGTGGAACATTCTTATTCCACTGGATGAATTTGGCTGCTGCATAAGCGCACACAGAATTGTTCACTCTTGCTTGCGCTGAGAAATGTTTTGAATGGTGAAATCCACACACTTGCAGGTGGCGTGTTTGTTTTGATACGGTGCCAGGCAGCACATTATTAGGGGCCGAGATGGGGGGCTACTACCACACGTGTGGACCTTGGACAGAAAGAGGCCGGTGGCCCGAACCTATGTATTTCGAAATTTCGCAACGTTTATTCACAGTTGACTTTGGTCTGAAGGGCAGCGCACACACGTGCGCTCGTTATAAGCAAGACAGAAATAACAGCATGTGATATGGAAAGGGACTGTTCAACGACATCGGAAAGCTCACGAGCCTTTTGTGATCATGTTTGCGAGTGAACCGCAGCTCGGGTCAGGTTGAGGTGGACCGACTCACTGCCTTCATACCAACTTGCCCTCTGCAAACAGCTCATACTTTGTAAATTGATACTGCTCTTTCCTTGACAGTTTTGCTTAGCCACTCCCCCTTTTTTGGCAGTACTATTTTAAGTTTACCCTTGTGGGCTTGTCAAGGCTGACCGGTTAGCCGATGAAATCCACCCTTAATTCAGCGGGCCTCATGTTTGGACATGGCTCATGTTTGGACATGCTGCGGGTGGTTTGATTTTTATCAAGAGATGGGTGGGGAAACGAGTGGCGGGAATGCGTGTGCAGTGAGCTGCCAAGAAAGAGCCCTTTAGAATGCTTGTTGGTGAATGCATATAAATTGTTGCATAAATATTATGCAATAGGTGTGTTAACTTCAGGGCTGTCCAACCCCCAATGCCTGGAATGATGACGGACAAAATTTACCGAGTCCTTTTTACAGTATTTGTATTTCCTACCAATGTTTGTTATTTTATTACATTCTGTGGGAAAGGATTTTATGCCAATAGCTGATAACAGATTTGCCATTCATTGCTCAGGCAAGTGAAATGGGAAGTGAGTGATACTGGCAAATTGGACTTCGTTTTAGGCCATTACTGAACCGTGGAGTAATGGCTCTTGGTGTTAAACATCAATGGAAACGGAAAGAGTACTAGGTATTATGAGTACTAGGTAACCACAATGGCATGCCAACGCTTTGACATTTTATTCCGCACAATGAGGTCTGGGTTTTTTTGTGTGGTACATATAACTTAATGACCATTAAATGTGTTCACTGAGAACTGTAACGAAGGGCTAGATATTTGTTATTGGTTAATAAACCTGTGTTATGAGTATACATTTTTTGCAGTATCCTAAAGTACATTGTGTTTAAATATTATGCAATAGGTGTTATTTTTACTTGAGTAAGTTTTTTTTAATAATCCGTAATTCACTTTTTCCAATGATATTTTACATATGTAAGGTTTCAAAGGTATATGTCAAGCCCTTTGTCAATCCACTGCTAGATGCGGAACTCCCTCACACCATGTGGTCATGGGAGTTATTTGATGATACTTTGCCACACAAGGTGGGGGAAGGTTTAACTTACAAAACTTAGATTTCAGAACTTTAATGCCAGTCTTTGTAAATGCTAAAGGCATTTGTGTGGTCTGTGCTGGCAGTATTTGGAAACAAACCCATGCTTTATTGTTTGCATGTTCGGGCTTGGCTTGAATCTGATGGTAAGTGTGTGGGCGTGCTGGCAACAGAGCCATCGCCCCCAGCCTTGCCAAGCCAAAACGGAGGCCCACAAGAGGCTTGGCTCAAACTAAAACGTTTTTTATTCACAGGGAGCAGTGTTAACTCGAATATCTACAGTGGGGTTTATTTCAGACTTTTTTTCAGATTGCTCCATTGACATTGCTAATTTGAACCCAAAACTAAACTTTGTAATATAAAATAAATACCTTTTAATCAACCTGTATACATTGTTTTCTTGCACATGAGCAATCCTGCCAATTTTTTATTTTAATCTGGCATCGTTGTTGGAAATTTCGATGCAACTTGTGCTCCAACATGCTGTGGACTTGCCTGCACCTACCCGGTGTGCAACTGAGAAACATAGTCAGATTTGGATGCCCTGGCCACACTTGCTCACTTTGTTTTTCGCACGCAGTACACCATTCCACTGGCACCTGAGCTGACCTATCGCAGTGTCTAGGTGTGGCGTATCCATGCCTGGGATTGTCCTAACTTTGTTTTGTGACTCATTAAATCTTGCCGGACGAAACCAAACCTCCAATTCCAGCCATTTCACACGCGCAATCAAGCAGCGTGGGCCCCATGAGCAGGGCCGATAATGCTAACCTAAGCATAAGGTGATCCCTTTTAACCCCCTTCCCTGATTGCAGCAGACATTAATCATCTGTCGTTTTGTTTGACATTTAAGCTCATTCTTTGATGTTTCTCTAACATCGGTATTATTTCATAGTTTTTACTGTTGGCTAATTGTCACACTCATGCTTTTGTGTGTGCTGAACTTCACACGGTCTTCTATACATTGGCACTGCTGATGACCTCATTGTCACTTGAGCCGAGGAAAAATAATTCCGAGCATGACCCTTCAGCAGCTGAAAGTGGCCTTTAAATACAAACAATGGCTTTGCTGACCCTGAGGACAATGCCTTTTTATGTTTTACACATTCTATCTTTATAAACTTTGAAAACCAAGCTGGTGATCCCTGATGTACAGGTGGTGGTGGTGGGGGGGATGGAGATGTGTAGGTGTATGAGTGGTAATTGAAAAAAATTAAGAAAATTCCGTAGCTTAGACTTCGAGTGCTATGTCTGCATGTTGTGAGCATTGGGTTGAGAATCTAACGACAGTTGCTTTGGGAAGCAATAATCGATTCCAAAAGTCGTGGAATCAAATGGCATGCATGATTGGCACGCTCGAACTTTCACACAGTGCGATTGGTTGAACGGACACAGGCACATGCATGGCTGGACTGTAAAAACATTTTGGTATGTGTGGTAAGACGATCATTGATATTTTATGATATGCATGTGATTCGCAGTGGTTGCAACTTGAGAATCAATTTCTTTAGCCACGCAAGGCTATCCCGAAGGTCGCTGTGTTTTCGCAGGCGTCGTCTGCGATCTTGCAATTTGTAATCTAAATTGGTGTGTTGCGTGTACATTTTCAAACGTGGTCAATTTGGACCATAACGCCAGCACTTAAAATAGGCCTACTCTTTTGGAATGACATCACAGGATCCTTTAACGTCCGCTGTGAAGTAGACGTGTATTTTATGGATAATACACCCGCCATATTAATAGGGGCGGTAAGCTGGATCCGAACCACAAGCCTCTGCAACAAGCGGCTAATGCACTACCGCTGGAATTCGTCACCGTCCCCGTAGGGGAAGCTGCGGTCGAACTGTTTTGGTGGCGAACGGCATCTTGTTTACGGGACAGACCGATTTGCTTACCTTTCCTATACTTTTTGCGCTCCTATCGTGTTTTTGTATTGTTTTAACGTGCTCACCCCGTGCCTGTGCTGGACATCTGTGGGAAAAAAAGTTGTATAGCTCATCGGATTCCTCCAGTGTAAATAACTATTCCGATTCTGACGAACGCCGTTGAACGACCCATCCTTTGCCCGTCGCAGCTGGAGAGCTACAAGGAGCCAGTGACGCTGCAGGTGTTTGTGGGAACGGACTCAGGGCGGGTGAAGCCGCACGGATTCTACCAGGCGTGCCGCGTCACGGGGCGCAACACCACCTTCTGCAGCGAGCTGGAGGTGGAGGGCACCACTGTCATCGAGGTCACCATGGACCCAGCCAATGACATGACTCTGCCGTGAGTTTCCCGCCCGCCCGAGCTGCACCCCTCTGTCTGCCTCGCGTTTGTCTGGCTCACCATCACGTCTGTGATTTATGTTAATGTGCTTACCGTAGGGGAAAAGGTATAAGCAGTTGCTGGTAATGGTAAAGGGGCAAGGACTGAGATTTCTTACTCGTGCCACTGCTGGTGTAATGGTCTCCTCTGCAAGAGGGAACTTTAGATACCACCTCTCGAAAGGGTATGTTGGTCTTCCATGCTTCTCCAGATATCTTGGAGGAAGTGGTGGGTGTGAGACCCACACTTTACCACGCACGACAACCCTGCCTTTGACCAAATCGCCTGGAATGGGTCTGGATCTCATTAAATTTTGGCTGCTTAACAGGGTTCAGCCTGGATGGTGCTTGGATGGGGACCACCATCACAAAGGGGGGGGGTCATAGGTGCTTGTGTGGCTACGTGGTGGACAATAGCAGGCAGTGCGGAAAACTCCATTGCTGTGCTCTGCTTCGGTGCTTTCACATCAATGCTCCCTGCCTTCAAACCCGCACTGACCGGTACGGTGAAATATGGTCGAATAACGCAGATGACTCGTTCACCTGTGGGGAGGCCCTCATCCTATTCAGCTGTTAAACAGTTTTATTTTTATTTTACGGCGAGCTTGTTTGCCCGTCATAGGATGGAAGCTGTAATATTTACGAAAAAATTGAATAGAGTATAATTGTATCTTGTGTAAATTTAATGGCAGTGAATCTTGCACCAAAGTACGTCATTAAACACTTCACTGCATTTCAATGTAGCACTGTATTAATGGCAGTGATTCTTGCACAAAGCTACGTCATAAAACACCTCCCTTCATGTCACTGTAGCACTGTATATAATTGACCTTAAATTTGTTCAAATTCACTGCTCTGATACTTTATTCTCTTCTGCTTTCGGTCGCTGGAGTTGAAATAAATTGGAATTCGATAAAATATCTGGAAAATCACCGAGAAATGTCTATTTTACCATAATGTAGAAGCATAAATTAGACTTACCTTTTGTCTCAAGTGCTGAAGAAATAAAGACACCAAATCCACGTTTCTGCGTAGAATTATTTATTAGAGTCCCTTTCAATAAAGAAACGTCAAACTTAAAGCGAATTTGCGAAAACAAATTTGATTTCCGCTCGACCTGCGTGAGTGTAAAATCCACCCGCTCATGAATATTAATGACGGGGGTGTGTGGCTTGTAGAGTGACGTCACGCACGTTACACACAAACAGACATTCTTGGCTCATTATAGTAGTAATGTAAGGTCCACCGAGCTGGCCACAAAATAATGATAGCTTAACGAATGTGGAAATTTCTAGCAGCCAAATTCTCTGAACGCACGTTTCATCCAGCAGTGGACTGACATGTACAATATAAAGGCAAAGCGGTGTGTCCTTGTACCTTATCATGTTGCAGCTTTTCGTGTTAGACAGTCATCAGGTGTCATCACGTGCCTGCGGTATGTGTATTTGGCATGGGTTTTATATGAGAAGATTGGGAAATGTGAAAAGGTGTGCGCACTGTATTGGGGTATGTGGAATGAAGTTTGAGAATCCCTTGCATCGACGAATATAAATCATGCAACCGGTTCCTTTATGGCTACAGTCTACTGTGTGTACAGCACTTAACATGCTGTGTTTTTCAGGTGTTTTTTTTAGCTTTGAAAATGGAAACACATGCAATGTCGAATGAGTAATCTGCAATCAATTTGTAACTGTATTTATTGAACCTGGTTCATTTAGCAAAGAATCCACATGCGGTTAATGCAAAGTTGGGATATTGAGCCAGCGCATCAAGATATTTCACTAATGGATCCGAGTCATGACATGAACAGGGAATAACAAAATGCATTGTCCTTTTTCATGACATGTTTTAAAGTGTAGTGAACCTAATGATTCCCACAATTTGTGTTTGGCTCAGTGTGAGTTGTGGTATGTGTACAGCCCTTTGTAAATTAGCCCCCACATTCAGCGGGTCTCGTAGGTTTGTTTTAACCGCACATCATGCTGTTCAGTGCGGGTTGGTCAAGGTGGGGAACATATATTGCGAGCAAAGAAGTTAATTAAAACAATGGGTTTTACTGCATGGCCCCTCTGCTGCCGACCACGTATCCCCACAGCAGCGTATCATACCTGTAATTTCATGTTGGTCGCCAATGGAAGCACTGTCCAGGCTCAAGAGTGCTTGTATAATATTTGGTGATATAGGGGTCATAGTGTCGGTGGTTTGGTCATAGCCGAAAGCACTGTGGTATGGAGGTCCAAATTGACAGACTCACCCATTCTACCTTCAGCGTTTCTCTCATTCAATGTAACAGTTGAAACTATGATATTTGGGGAAAAAAAGCCATTTATTTTTTAGCGTGCGTGTATGACACTAAAGCAGGAAGTGTAAGGTAGAGTAATCCGTTGCCTGTAGTCAGTAGTAATCCGCGCTTGTCCGATGGCAAATTCAAATTGTTCACGTTAGCAAAAGGGCAGCAGTATAAATAAACTTTACAGCTTTACTCGCCAAAATCCCTTAATGCTTCTCCACACTTTGTTTACATGCGCGGAGGCGGTGCGAACATGGTAGTTGTAAGCTTCGACAGGTTCGCACGTCTCCTCCGGAGGTCTGCCTTTCGTGCCGGTTCTTGAGGAGAGCAGGAACCTTGTAACCCCCACCGTAGCCAAGGTCGCCAGCTGTGCGCAATCCGAAATAAAGCTGGCATTAGGCAAGATTTGGAAATGACGCATTTTCATTATTGTTTATAAGCCCCGGGTGATGTCAGTGATGCGCTGAGTTGGAAACCAGTCAAGGACTTCTGGGTTAGCAGAATAAGCTCCTTTAAAATTTGGACAATTTCTAGCTATAGTGGTGGAGACAAAGTAATAATAAAACTGTGAGTTTTCCCCCCCTCCCTCCATGGAGTCATGCTGATATACTAGATATGTACACAGGATATTTAAGTCATCATCATCAGCCATGCTGGATGAAGGTCTCTCTAAGCTGTCACCATTTCTCACAATGCTATGATATCCACCTAGCATCTGCACAAGACTGATTTTGTCACTCCATCTCATCTAGGGATGTACTTTAAATGCGTTCCGTTCCCTGGCCTCCACACTGTCATTATTCTTCACCATCGGTCCTCACCCCTTGTAGAATAGTAATGTTGAAATATCGCGATTGAAAGATCACTGAAATGTAACTGAATAGCACTCACCTTTGTTTGCTAGTCCAGGGCTACCTGTGAGATGATGAAGTTTTATGCATCTCACAGCAACATATTTCCCTATTAAGGCTTTAAGACACTGATGAATAATATTGGAGAAAAATCCTAATCTCTAGTGATTGGAATGGTGCGTGGAACAATGTTAAATGGCTGGAACGTGGCAAATAGTATTTGTTGGGCTATAATGCAGAGCCAAGGAGTAAGTGCTTTAGTCACCCTAATGTGTTTATTCCCACCATTAAATGTCGATGCTGTGGATAGCATAGAGCAGTGGCGTGCCTTTAATTTTTGTCTGGTTTGGCATTTGCATTGTGACCATTATGCTTCGCTTAAACGTGTGGACCAAGCGTTCAAGTAAGAGAAAAAGAGAAGAAAAAAATCAACTAGAGCGTGTGGGAACCGATTGAAAAACATGCTCTTGCACAAATCATGTGCTGTTGTAGCCAAGAATGTTTCCATTAAACATTTCCATATGCGTATCATGCTGTCCATACAACACATATAGAACGTACAATTTATCTACGTTTTTGTTATTTTTTATTGCTCGTTTTGTGAGATAACATTAAGTGTCCTTGTGATTTTTAGTTAATTAAGATAATTTTCCAAAAAGTGTTCTCGGGTGTGCTTTGGGTGCACAGGATTACATAATTGTGCTTACAAGGAAGTGATAATTATAACTTGGCCCACGTAAACCAATAGTCCACACTTTGCCGACGAGTGAGCATTTATATATATTGTTCAGCTGTACTCCGTTGCTGCTCTGCAATGAAACCACCTTTGAGTGTCAGATAGGTTAACTTGTCGGTGAAGTCTCACACCATTACCTTCAGCCCACCCGATGCCTCCTGGGAGAGTTTTTACAAAAAATATTAATTGGAGTTATTTCCACGGACGCGTGTGGGTTGGCATTGTGGGCGAGTGTGCGCTAAGGCCTGATTGAGTAACCCAGTTCTCGTGTACAACTGTACAGAGGTAAACAGCCACCATCATCGCTTGTTTCTACACTAGTTTTGTAGAATGTACTGCCATGCAAAAGAGTAGATGTAGAGCTGTCGCCTTTTGATAACACTGGAACAATTTGTATATTTTTTTGTTCCTGGGTAGTTAGTGTTATTTCCTAATTGCTTATGCCTCAAAAGTACAGAAAATGGCTATTATTCCCCACAAACTTTGCTTTTGTGATCAGGACAGTGATATTTTTAAATGTACCTATTTTCAATGAGAAAACAGGCGAATTTGTGTCTTTTCGTTCACATTAAGTCATAAAAAAACATATGAATCAAAATTAACATGTATTTATACCAAAGTAATACAAAAATGACGACAAAAGATTTAAAAGTGAGTAGATGGAAACATCACAGCCAGTTATGACTTCAACTAGTTGATGACATCCTTCCAATGATTACCGTGTTCATGAGCATAAGATAGATTTGAAACACGGGAGGACCAACACTTCGGCCGTGGCTGATCATTGTTTTAATGCGGTAGGCTCACACGAAATAGATTTCTCTGAGACGAAGGTACTTTGCAAGCCCACTGGCTATCAACAAAGATTCGTTCATGAAGCCATCCAGATATACAGACAGACACAATTTCAACCGAGAGGATGGGTACAAACACAGAAATCATTGGAAGGACGTCATCAACCAGTTTAAGTCATAACTGGTTGTGATGTTTCCATCTTGTCACCTTCCGATGTTAGTTTTATTTTACTTAAGATGGGACAAGCAATTCCAGTCCTTGCGGTGTCGCCTCTGTGTTGGGCGTACCACAAGTTGTTAAATTCTCCACGGCTTGTGCGTCTTCCCTTTCTTGCTCTCCAATCTCACATTGTCATAACCATCTCCGCTTCTGCTGGCCCCAGGGCACTTGTACCCCGTCCACTTCTTTCTGATACCAAGACGCTTGGGCTACGCCCATTTTAAACCTTTAAAACAGCTTGCCTTTAGTGGCTTTCCCCCCTTTTTTGCACCTGATGACGATCACTTGTGTTGCGATCGAAACGTCGTAGTTTTTTGTTTATGTTTTAAACCTATGTACGTGACTTTACCGAAAGACCCAAAGAAGATTAATTCCTGCAGTCACGAAAGCTTCAAGTTAAGATTTAATCTCTTACACATTAGTCATGGGTGAAATAAATGTATTTTTGTAGGATAGTACAGAGGGGAAAAGAGAGCCATGAAGTTCGCTATCCCAATAATTTGGCGGGAACCCACTGACCACTCAAGCAACTGCTACTTCTGCATGGTGGACCCTTCCAAACGTCTTTCTTGCAAGAATGCACCTGCTATCACGTATCTGGACCTTCCTTCATCCATCGCCCCGGTGCCACACTGCCTTGGGCTCCCTGTACCCACTCCTCCGGAGAGAGAGCAGCCATCTTTAGAAGAGAGCAGCAAGTCAGAGAGCGAGGAAGACGTTGTAGATTCAGATGACAATTTCAGATGTGGAGCTGAGGAGAGAAACCCATACTACCCCAACCAAAAAGACCTCAACGACTTGATCAGATTTCTTGGTCTCACCAAGTCCAATGCAGAGCTTTTGACGTCTAGGCTCAAGCAGTGGAACTTGTTGGATGAAAGTGTGCAAGTCGCAGATCAGAGGAAGCGTCACCAGCCTTTTTGCAGCTTCTTCACCCATCAAGATGGGCTCTGTTTCTGCCACAATGTGACCAGTCTGTTCCAGGCAATTGGAATCGCCTGTAACCAGAATGAGTGGCGCCTCTTCATTGACAGCTCATCCAGGAGCCTCAAAGCCGTGCTGCTCCATAATGGTAACAAGTACCCGTCTCTTCCCCTGGCTCACTCGGTGCACTTCAAAGAGGAATATAACAGCATCAAGACCTTGCTGGATGCCTTGAAGTATGACGAGTATGGCTGGGAGGTCATCGGAGACATCAAAATGGTGGCATTCCTGATAGGTCTCCAAGGCGGTTTTACCAAGTTTCCCTGCTATCTTTGCCTTTGGGACAGTAGGGACACCAGGATGCACCACCACAGGCGGGACTGGCCACAGCGGAACGAGTTCTCTGTGGGGAGGAACAACGTCAAGTGGGAGCCACTGGTGGACCCCCGGAAGGTGCTGATGCCACCACTGCACATCAAATTGGGCCTTAGGAAACAATTTGTCAGAGCTGTAGATAAGGAGTCGGCAGCCTTCAAGTACCTTCAAGACTTCTTCCCGAAACTGTCTGAGGCAAAGGTCAAAGTCGTTGTCTTCGTCGGACCACAGATAAAGAAGATAGTGGAGTGCAATTAATTCCCCAAGAAGCTCACTAGCAAGGAGAAAGCCGCTTGGAACAGCTTTGCGCCGCAGTGGTTCGTGGCTTCCGGGGCAAACACAAGGTCGAAAACTGTGGAGCTGGTTGAGACCCTGGTGAAGAACTACGGCACAATGGGCTGTGGGATGTCCCTCAAGTCCATATCCTTGATGCTCATCTTGATTAATTCAAGGAGAACATGGGAGCGTACTCGGAGGAGCAAGGCGAGCGCTTCCCCCAGGATATACTGGACTTTGAACGCCGCTACCAAGAACAGAATAACGAGAACATGATGGGAGACTACCCATCATGTTCTCGTATAATCGTAAATATTCGTAAATCTCGAAAAATTACTCACTTCTAAATATTTTCTAGTAATTTTTTTATTACTTTAGTATAAATACATGATAATTTTGATTTGTATGTTGTTTTTTGTGACTTTATGTTAACGAAAAGACACAAATTCGCCTGTTTCCTAATTGAAAATAGATACATTCCAAAATATCACTGTCCTGGTCACAAAAGCAAGCTTGTGGGGAATAATAGCCATTTTCTATACTTTTTAGGCATAAGTATTTAGGAAATAACACTGACGACCCAGGAAGAAAAATTGTGTTACATTGTGTAATGAGTCCAGACAGAGAACTAGTCTTTCAGCTCCTCTGGTGGGCTTTCTGGTTGAATACCACGTGTTTAGTCCGGCATGACGTCCCACGTTTTGCTCCATGGTGTTGGGAGAGCTTCTTCAGGAGGCTTCTCTTAAGTAGATTTCCAATCAGACCCAAGGAGCAGCATATTCGAGACCAGTGGTTCTTAACCTTTACTGTAGCCTTGCACTCCTTTGCTTCTCAATCGTAAAACAATTATAATGTTCATAAATAAATAACATAGGTTTGATGACGCAAAGTAGTCGTACTTAGGTGCCCGTGCTTAATGTGTTTTCGATTATTTAACTTCTCGCACCCCCAGGAAGGACATCTCGCATCCCCAGGGGGTGCGTGCACGCCAGGTTAAGAACCACTGTTCTAGACACACCTTTGTGCAGTTATTCTCGTATTGGCCATCAATGCCGCCCCCCCTGCGGGCGCAACCGTTAACCGTTGGTCGTCATCACTGCCCCCCCCCCCGCCCTTGCAGCGTGGACTGTGTCGGCATCTTGAAGCTGCGCAATGCAGACGTGGAGGCTCGCATCGGTCCCGTGCGCTCCAAGAAGAAAAGCACGCGCGTGCGCCTCGTGTTCCGCGTCACCATCCCGCGGCCCGATGGGCCGGCCCTCACCCTGCAGGCCTGCTCCACGCCCATCCTGTGCAGTGAGTGCCGACGCCGCACCCGACCGACCATCCTCGGTGGCAAGATGTTACGTCCCTCGCCTGATTTACAAGGAGGGTAGTGGGTTTTATTCCAACCCTCACACCTGCTGTATATTTTAAGTTTGCATGTCTCTCTCTCTCTCTCTGTGGCCGGGTGGATTTTTCTCCAGTTTTTCCCTCCACATTTAGAAACATTCGTTTTAGAGTATTTGATTGCAATACATTTCCACGTGATAAACCGCTTAGTTGAGCTGTCATTTGTGGCCAGATTGCTTCTGAAAAGAGCTATATAGCTCAGTGGGCCTTACGTGGTAAAATACAAAGTTTGTAGTTTTATAGTTTTTACTTCACCTCAGTTTTGCGAGGTGGTTCTGGGACAGTACTAGTGGGCAGTGCAGTTTCTTGGGTGCCCATTGTTTATTATTACTACACTTGTTTACCAAGGAAGATCTTAACTGGTTTGTAACCCACCCCCTCCTTCACAAACCCACACTGACCAGCACGGTGAAGTATGGTCAAAATAACCAACATTCAGCAGTGTAATGAAAAAGGGATGGCCATTGCATACAAAGTTAATAATTAATGTACACATTTATTATACCTCGCAATTTCTGCTTAAATGTGAGAAGTGGCTCTGTAAAACTCTACAGAAAATGTGAACGCTGCATTTATATATTAAACTTGTGCCGTGGATGCCATATATGTGGCATAGGCACCCTGGCCTTCTGAGAGTGCATGTCCACCCTTGTGATGAGCAGTGATTAAAATATTCTTAGCTCTTTCGGTAAAGTCACGTTGAAGGGAAACAATAAAATAATAAAATATATATAAAACAATAAAAATTCTAACGACGTTTCGACCATAACGCAAACGGTCATCATCAGGTGTGAAAAACCAACGGCAAGAAACATATACTCTGATTCCAACCCTCACACCTACTGTATATTTTAAGTTTGCATGTCTCTTTCTATATTAAACTTGTGCCGTGGATGCCATATATGTGGCATAGGCACCCTGGCCTTCTGAGAGTGCATGTCCACCCTTGTGATGAGCAGTGATTAAAATATTCTTAGCTCTTTCGGTAAAGTCACGTTGAAGGGAAACAATAAAATAATAAAATATATATAAAACAATAAAAAAAAGAAACAGAGTATATGTTTCTTGCCGTTGGTTTGTCACCTGATGATGACCGTTTGCGTTATGGTCGAAACGTCGTGAGAATTTTTATTGTTTTATATATATTTTGTTTCCCTTCAACGTGACTTTACCGAAAGAGCTAAGAATATGAATTACTGCAATCACGAAAGCTTTAAATCAGTGATTAAAATGTTCTGTTCTTAAGTGGACCCAGGGTGTGATTATTTTCGTTCATGTCAATTGCCATGTATAGCATTCTGGGGGATTCAAATCGTTGCATGTTACGCCACGGGGAGTTTGGCCACTGAGTAATCAATACTTGTGGACGTTCAGGTTTTCACAGGCAGTAGCCTCATGAAGTAAGCAGTCAGCCCGTACTGAGAAGCTAGCGTTTCATTGCTAGTGCGCAAGCCGTTGAAACAGATATATTTGCGTGTACTATGTACTCCCGTAGCAAGAAACCTCACGAGGGACTCTGAAAGTTTGCAGGCACAATGACACCCTGTACTGTGTTGCTTGGTATCGTTGCGTTTTATGCACTTGACACGAGATTCTGTCGTGTGGAAATAGAAATATTTACAAGGGTAGATCGAGTTTTGATATCCAGTTGGAAATATCCATCGGAGGCCACGTGATCTTTTGTCGACCCACCGGGGGAGCACTGCTGAAGTGCGATTGTGTCAAATGGGCAGGGTTTTTTTTGGCATTTGGCAAAGTACCCAACTGTGAAACTTAATCTCACGAAGGCTGGTGGATCGCCGAATGAACTCCTGAAATAAAACCCATTTATTGGCAGAAGATAAAGTCAAAAGATACATGATGTGAACTGTTCAACTTGGGTAATTGTGATTAATATTATTTTAATGGAAAGGCTGAGAAGAAAAATATTAAACACACAACTTTACCTGTGGTGAACGCTGCACTTTCCGTCGTTTTCATGCAGGGGGCGCTGCAAACCTACGCGCCCCCTGCATGAACGACGGAGGCGCAGGGACAAACGTTCGATTACGTTGGAATCGATCTGCAGGCGACGGTCTTCTCGCACGGCCAGCTCTGTCGCCTTATCTCGATCCCGCAATCCCAAACAGGTGAAAGTCCGCATCGAACCAAACCCCCAGCAAGGCCATCTACTTAACGACGAGAGAAAATTCACACGAATGTCGTTTTCAATTAAGTCTTCCAGATGTAAAATTATCGAAGCTTTTAATGAAGAAGTACAATTATGTCATTCAAAACATAATACAAAAGATGTTTCATTTTAAAACTTCAAAATGGAACATCGGGTGCTTGCGTGAATGCGTCGTTCGTGTGCAATTTTTTCGTGACTTTCCTGGCCGGAAGGCCTAATGATAAAATAACAAAATGTTACAGCCATTTGTCCCTTCTCTGCTGGATAAAGGCTCCTCAATCCGTGCAAGTCATGGGAGTTGATTGACCATACTTCACCATGCTGGTCAATACAGGTTGGTGAATCGAAGTGTAGGCAGGACAAATGAGACTTTATTAATAGCCATGCTTGATGAAGGGTTTCATCTCCGCAAGTGGCCATCCTCATCGCCTTTTCTTTTTTGGTGGGAATCCCCTACGATCACATTTTAACTGTTTATGATAGAGAATTGTGTAATGGGCAGTTGAGAGGCAAAGCAACCCGTGACAGCTGTATTTAGTAACGGTTGTTGTACTCTTGAGAACATAAATCTATATAAAGTATAAATAACTATCAAATACCATTGTGGCTGGCTTTTGTAAAATGTGAACAGGCATTTCATTTGATGGAAACTGATGCAGTTACGTAAGCTCTCACAAAGGTCTAAATAAAATACAGTAATGTAGAAATTATCAAACCAATTAAACTTTTGTTAATCATAATTCATCATGGCTACTAACACGATTCATCCTTGGCTCGTGTAAATAAAAATTGTATGCCGACAACTAAAAAACCTGAATCGGACTATTGAGCAGTGAATCTGCTCTGCTGTTGCCAGTCACCTCTGTCACACGCTGCCTTTGTGTCCCTGGCACCACTCCATGTGTGCCCCGCTAAACTGATCACTGGTGTGACTGCCACGGCTAAATAAAGAAGCTCTTTATCCTGGCGTGAGGGTTTCTGCAAACCTGCTGATTACCGTTCCCAGTTTGTAAGTCAGGGGTCAGCTGTTCCACGCGCAAAGCCGATGCTAATGGTTATGCCCTCACCATGCCCCACGCTGCCAGAGGTATAAATTGTCCCACGTGGCATTCTCAACCCCAAAGGAAGAAATAATGGGGGAAAAGCATGGAACTTTCAAACAAGAGCGTAGGTTGTAAATGCATTTAATCAACGAGACTTTTGAAATTTATATCACGTTTTGCAAAAACATTTTTCTAAGGAGTGATAAGTTTATTGTGTAAGAATGCCCGGGTGAGCCAGCTGGCCTGGGGCACTGGAAATGGGAGAGGGGAAAGGAGAGTAATTTAATACAGACGGTAGGCTTTCGAAGGCTCGTAGAGTAACTGAAATCTAGGTCACGGCACACGAGGTTGCTTGGCTCATCATGTATGGCCACATAACACAGGCATGCCTCGTGTCTTTATTTAGGATTTTGGGAAGCCCTGGACCAGCGTCGGTATGAAGTCCCGCGCGTGCTCTCATACCAGCGCAAGGATAACCGTGTGACTCAATCCGAGAATATTATTTTATAACTGATATTGGGCGAGATAAAAAAAGATTACTTTTGTACAGATAACATTGAAGTTGAATCTGTTCATTGCTCACTTGTGTCTGTAGGGTTTGACACACTGCACTGAGAAGGTGTCATCATCATGGTCATTACCAATCATAAGCCTTGAATATGTAAAGAAATAATTAGGTGAATGTTTAAAAATATTTTCCAAAAGAGATGCACATGATTTGCTTATTTAACACTGATTTGTAGATCATTTAACTTAACTTTAAATCTTAACAGTTGTAACTGTGTATGTTAGATGAACACAACCAAGGACATAGCAGTACAGATCTCAACCAGAGAAGCCTCAACACTGTTTTGAGGGCATCTGGGCCCTTTTAAGGTAATTAAATCAATACCGAACATGGGACAATAGACACAGCCCAATGCCGTATCCCGTGACCGAACATCTCCGCTCGTCCTATTTTTATCTCCAGCAATCGGTTGACATTGAATAACATGCGGCAGTTGTTGCAACATTTCATGCAGTGGAACATGGGTTCGTACTGATTTATACCTTCCTCTAGCAAAGTACCATGAATAGCGTGCAGACCACTTGGGGCTCCGTTCTCTTTTCGTGCTTAGAATTCCCTGCGCCCTCCCCACAGTGAATCGAACTATGCTTTTGGTAGGCTATTTATAAACAAATTCGTAAACTGTGGTGTATTTTGTTACAAGCGTTTCGGCAATCGATGATAGCTTACTGATATCAAAAGAACACCCTTGTGATTTAGACAATGTTTTTTTAGCACTCGTAGTTTCAAGAGTTGAACAATACTGTTAGCATATTTGAACTGCCATATAGCACGATTTATTATGACCGTTGGCTTGTTTACCCAGGAAGGCCTCACTCATTCGCAAGACTCTTTAAAAGACGGCCTGGCCACGTTTTTTCACAGCATGGTGAAATGATTGCTGCGTGTAATCCAAATGGATTGGTTTGCAGGAAATCTTTTAGCATTGTGATATTTGGCCAATGCCAGTTACATTGTTTTATTTTTAGCAATGAGAGGAAACCGGAGTAGCCTTGCAGATCGGGGGAGAAGAGACTCCACGCAGAAAATGTACTGGAGTCGGACATGGAGCCCAGGACTATCTTACTGTGGTACAAGAGTTACCACTATGCCACCCTGGCACCCGTGACAATCTGTCCACACACACACACAATTCTACAAAATTCTGATGTACTACTTTTGAACAGTACAACTTGTTAATTGGCGTGAATTGCTGTAAAGCGTGGTGATTCGGATGACAGTTGGGTTGCTGAGGATCGTCGGTTGCGATATCAGCTGCAGCATTTTCCTTGCGCGGTTGTGGTTACGACTGTGGTCACTGCAACAACGGTGTGGCCTCGACGACGATAATGATCGCCTCTTGCTGCTGTGTCTTGCAGCTCAGCCAGCAGGAACTCCAGAGATCTTGAAAAAGAGCCTACACAGTTGCTCACCACAAGGGGGTGAGGAGCTCTTTATCATCGGCAAGAACTTTCTCAAAGGTGTGAAGGTCATCTTCCAGGAGACTGCAGCAGGTGCGTGCCGGGGCAGAGCTCCCCCGTGTGGTTGGGGGGGTGGGATGGACGTCGGAGGGTATAACGGGGTTGTGGTGGTGGGAGATGCGAGGTGAAATGAGTGATGAAAGGCGAGTGGGATCGGGAGAGATAAGTGGCCAATTGTCGGGCTTGGGGGGGGGCATTGGAGTGAGTACAGTGACCTCCAACGTAACGTGATTTTTTTCTATTGCACATCAGAAGTCGCTGTAGAGCCATCGTGTTATTTTGAGTAAAACATTCAATGTATGTTCAGCTTGATAGCTGTCTGAAAACAATGCTGTCTGTCGCTTGACGGGAGTGCTTATTTTAACGTTGCCTCGTAGTCTTGCTGTTGACCCATGGCGCTATTAAGTTTGCATATGTAATGTCACCAATACGAAGCACTGTCTGCTGGCATTCTCTGAAGAGTTTGACACGAACCAGTTTGTTATGTTCTGTCCTCTCGATACAGAAGGACAAGTTGTGTGGGAGGCAGAAGCAGAGATTGATATGGAGTTTTATCACCAGGTATTCACATTTCCATTATTCTTGCATTCGGAGCATGCAGTGATGTGCCATCTTGAGATGCGGTTGCATTTGAAGGCAATGTACATCCAAATTATATTGTGTTGCATAGCTTCAGGAGCAATGCTGCTGCTATCAAACAACATGTTAGCATTTGCCAAACCATCAGCACTAAAAACAAATAAAAAGCTTCTGAAAGTGAAAATTAATTAAAATTGCCTTGATAGACATTTACAAATCAACTGGAATATAGCGCAGACCTTGAAATTGATATCAATGGTGATTATACTTTTATTATCGATAAATACTGCATTTTTGTAAGATTGTCTACTGCATGGATTTTTGTAAGTTTACTGTTTGTCGATGCGCAGTAACTATTCACATGCGTCAGCTGTGGCAATGGATGCTTTTCATGGCTTGGATGTTGTAATTTGTAAAGATCGTCTCGTCTTGCCATAGGGTGGGTTTTTGCCTTGCGAAGTGTTCCACTCGGGTAACTTAATAAAAGTCCTTGTGTTGTGTGGGGTTTATGTATCCCTTCCTGCCATGTTGGTATCAAGCGTAAATAAACAAATACGCTTTGGTCTGTTTCCATGCTGTTTGTTAAATGTCAACGCAGCATCCTGTAAAACCGTTGCACTGTAAAATTTCCAGTTGCAGATTTCTGTATGGTGGGGAACAGTGGCACATTGGTTTGCCACATTACTACAAAATACACCAACCAGAGTTAAATTCACAGCCACGGCTAAACATCACTGGCAAGTGGAATCTGAACCTGTCTTTGGCCTCCAGTAGATTAACTCGGCCTTAAATGAGTGCTTGGCAAGCTGTGCAAATATCTACAGTAGGGAGACCAAGGCCATACCATTCTCTCTTGTATCATGCCGGCCTTTATAAGTGCTCACTAACAGCAAAGATGTGGCAGTTTCTTCAGACTTCAGATTCGAGAGGGAGCCTCATCTCACATTTTGCCCCGCGCCTCCAAACATCTCTTGGCGACCCCAACTATTGCAGCACTTGCGCTTAAGAGCGGGAGATCTTTGCCTTTCGTCGTTTTCCTTATTGTTCCATTCGTGACACGTATCTGTGCGTGTGTGTGTGTGATGTGCAGAACCACCTTATAGTGAAAGTACCGCCGTACTGCGACCCCGACATCGCCAGTCCTGTGTCTGTGGGGATTTTTGTTAACAGCAGCGCAGGGCGGTCGCATGAGGTGCAGCCGTTCACGTACACACCCGACACAGGTAAGGGGAGAGGGTAAGCTCGTGCTGGGTTTCCGTAGAGTGGTCACATGACGGGCTCGCTATTTGTGTATCATAGTACCAAGGAGATGGAGCGATGAAATCAACTTGTGTGCAGGTGCTTAGGTGGCTTATTACATCACAGGATCGTGCGAGGTGGTGGCGACTTGGGGATGCCTTCATCCAGCAGTGGATTGACCATGGATGATGAGTGGGCTCAACAAGTTAAAGGTTTTGGAGGGGCCAGCTTTTTGGAGCAATGGTGAAAAAATTATTACACGTAAATTAAGTTTTCATGATTTAATATCATGTGGATAGGAGCACTTGTACATTCATGTATATAGATTTAATGTACATGCATTTTGATTTAAAGCTTTCGTGACTGCAGTAATTCATATTCTTAGTTCTTTCGGTAAAGTCACGTTGAAGGGAAACAATAAAATAATAAAAAATATATAAAACAATAAAAATTCTCACGACGTTTCGACCATAACACAAACGGTCGTCATCAGGTGTGTCGACCGTTATGGTCGAAACGTCGTGAGAATTTTTTTGTTTTATATATATTTTATTATTTTATTGTTTCCCTTCAACGTGACTTTACCGAAAGAACTAAGAATATGTACATGCATTATTGGGAAATCTCAAAAATGCTCATCCCTTTACACCACGTGTGCCTGTGGAGTTAAATATTTTTTGTTTCATCAACATAGCACCGTTTTTATTAGACCCAACTTTGCAATAAAAAAAATGCCTGCGGAGGCGTGAAGGTTGGTATGCAGTTGTAGGTTTGCCAAAAGAGGTTGTTGATTTCACCATAGCAATGATTAATGGTGCTCCACTGTTGTTTGTGTGGTGGGTTTAATGCAAGGTTTTTAATTACTCATGCAATATTTTCTGAGTCGGTGGTTGATTGGAGAATGCATGTGACTTTGAGTCGCCATAGCTAGAGGTATATGTATGTTGAACTTATTTTGCATGGTACATAGCCATGCTAATCGGAGGTGTGGAATACTGGATGTGGTGTGCTAGGTGAAGAAATAGTCTGGCTTGCTGATCCAGACAGACCAGGCTGAAATTAAGCACCGATTTCAGTGGGATGCTGCTGTTATGCAATAGTTAGCACACTGGACTTGAAATCCCAGAGGTCTCTGCTGGTTAAATTTTCCAGCACACCAGTTGAAACATTGAGCAAGTTACTTAAATCCTCCCCCGCCTGTCCACCCAACAGTATAAATGGGTATGTCACAGTTGTTTATCAGCAGGTCACGTGGCGGGGTTAGTGTGACTACTTCCACCTCTTCCAAAACATCTGGCAAGTGAGAGAGAGTAGTCCAGAATACCCTTAAGAGGCTCTGGAGAGCTCCCTATAGCAGAGGACCATCAGCCAACATTGGCATGAGCAGGCACTTGCGGGGCTGCACCTTTACCCTTTATCCTGTGATGAATATTTGAGCTATTGAACATCTTCACGGATTAAACTCTGGCACATTGTAACGTCTGTCTTGTGTGTGTGCGTGCAGTCACGGTGCCTGCAAAAGCGAAAAGCATAAAAAGTGAGGAGTCGTCACAGTGCGCCTTCGAAGAGCCTTTACAAAGTAAGTCTTCTCTTCTCTCCGAGGTGGTTGCTCAAGCTGTAGTTATGAACACATGAGCTTTCAATGAATCTTTCTTTTATATATAATACTTGCTTTACTATCCGGCTTCGCCCGGGACTTGGATGCACGACGCCCAGCCGCCTTTGTCTCCCCAGTGGCGATGTTCACACACCACACCAGTTACTCGTTTGAGGCTGAGTCGACCTAGGGGAGGCCCAGGACCGGTTCAAATAATCGTCACCGGTGGTGGGCGTGAGCGGGAATTTAACTCGGGTCGCCGGGTTCGTAGCGCAGCGTGCGAATCGCTATGCATTTGCTGCCCCCCCACCCCACACACACACAGGATAAAGACAAAGATCCCCAGTGTAGCCTGTGAGACTGTAGGGGGCAAGTGCTGTTAGCGAGCACCTATGAAGGCCAGCACGGCACACGAGGGGGTTTGTAGCCAGCACCACGCCCGGCCGCCTTTGTCCCCCCAGTGGCGATGTTCACACACCACAGCAGTTACTCGTTTGAGGCTGAGTCGACCTAGGGGAGGCCCAGGAGCGGTTAAAATTATCGTCACCGGTGGTGGCCGTGAGCGGGAATCGAATTCGGCTCGCCGGGTTCGTAGCGCAGCGCGCTAACCACTACACTACAACGCGTTACGCTTCCACATGCGCGGGTCACATGACAGATTTGATGTAACAGGTCACTTGCTGTGCAAAAAGTATACATTATTGCGCCCCCCCTACTCCCCAAAATACAGAAGTCTATTTTTATACTTTTTGCATTGTGTACAGTCTGGAAGATACCCACATGCCAAATTTCAAGTTTGTTGCATGTCAGGAAGTATGCTAAACATTTTTAACACACATTCACAAGTTTCCCTTATTTATATATAGATATAAAATCATCCCATATATAAAATCACATCCAGAGGGGAATGCTGCAACCAAGAGTTGTCCAGATGCCTTGTGACCCTAATTTAATTCTGTAAAACTTAATCTTTTTGGATACCAATGGGTGTGTAATGTAAGCAATGTAATAATTACATGCAATCATTTCATTAATTATCATTGTAAATATTAGCAATGGCCTTGTGAAGGATCCAGGAATTCTGTATGTTAGGGGTCAATTAATTGGAGGGTCACAAGACATATGCACCACCCTGTACAGCAGTGTGCGTAGTTAATGCATTGCAATCAACACGTCATTCTTACAATTGGGCAAATGTTCATTTAAATGTGAGCCCAACAGGATTCACAGGATACAATCTTTTATTTTGCCAGCAGTTGTGAGAGCAAGTAACTGCAGCACAGCACCATTACCTAATTAGGTATTTGATATTCAGCCTATGGGTATTCTGATTACTGTGCATCTTGGCACAAGTGTGATCAATGTAATTGTTTTCATAAATATTTAGGATAAGCGCATGCTACAAAATATATATTTTTTCAATGCCACCATGTCTTGGGTCTGCTATAAAGCCACTTGTCTGGATGACATTTGGGCTGGTTACGAATAATGTTCTTCAAAGCATCACTGATGATGCCCACACTTTCCACTGTGATCTTCCATACTGCATCGCCGCACAATTGCATCTCCTCCCGTACAGCATCGGTGGCGTGCCAGTGCGTCACGTTGGCCCTCAAGCCGGGCAGCTGCGACGCGCCGGACGGGGTGCTCCTGTCCAAGTTGGACGACGTTGCCCTGATGGAGGTGTCCAACAGCAGCCCCCTGCCCCAACAGGTGTGATAATCCGTCCGTAGTACTTGTTAAAGTGTGCCCCTGCAATTTTTCAGAAACAGAAAGCACCCAAAGAATGATCAGGGACTCCGTGTTGCAGTGAAGGGGAGGGGAAAGGAAAGTAAGTTTTAATATGGAGTTCACTGGCTAACCAAACGCTAGTCTTGCCGTTAACCGTTTTGAATTAGCCCAGGGGTTGGCAACCTCCAGAGCCGCATGCGGCTCTTTAAGGACTGCTTTGTAACGTTTTTTTGAAGGATCTGGTATATGCATGCATTGCAGCTCTTGGAATAGTTTTTTTTACCAAATAAAATTGATTTTATTTTGGTTGCCGATCCCTCAACTAGCCACTTGTACTCAGCCCTCCCCCACCGTCCTTAATCCTAACCTCTGCCACTTCACCAGGGCCCCCATTTTTATTTATTTTTCGCTTCTCTGTTCTGGAGCCCGCAGCACCACCATGAGGCAGTCGGAAAGTGTCGAATTAATTGCCCAGCAGTGCCAAAGAGAATACCGTGTGTGTGCGCACGCATGCATGTGGCCAACTCGGCTTAGAATGACAACTTGTTATGCTAGTGTAGCAACACGCAATGCAGGGGAGGCAGTCTCGGCCGGGTGTGGGTGTTGGCTCGACCACCTTCTCACGTCGCATGCCAGCAATAATAGGTGCTTACCAGCAGATTTGTGCCAGTGGTCTACCCTCTGAAGGAGATCTTTGTTTGTGTGCATTTATATGTGCGTGTGTAGTGCAAATGACTGAATACTGTGGAAGTTTGTGTTGTGAAGGGGGGGGTCTGTTGTCTCTGCATTTTTGTGTATGCATATTGTATTCTAGACTTCACTGTACGTGTATGTAGGGCAGATGACATGTGTTGTGTATGTGTTGTCATGTTCCGATTTTGTTTTACAGCCCGGCGGGGAGGTTAGTGTTACGTGCAAGATGTCTCCAAAACAGGAGGATATGAAACAGCCGTGCTTCTGTTTGTCACCGACGCAACTTGGATCCCCTGCACAGCTTTCTGCCATGAGCCAGTTCAAACCCGAGCCAAGCGACATAGCAGTTGCTCTTCTTTCTGCCCACGGAGGTCTCTCACCACAGCAGCAGCAACAACCGCAGAGCCAGCCAGTTCAGGCTCCAAATTTTACCCCCCAAACCTTAATTGTACAAGTGCAGAGCCAGGAGAGCAGTCTACAACAACAACAACAGGGCCTCTTGCAAGTTGCAGCTGCACTGCAAAACCCATCGATGGAGCAAGTCGTTTTTCAGACGGCAGGAGAACCCATGGCGCAGCAATCATCTGTGGCTCCTCGCATTGAGGCGCAAGCAGAAAACGATTCTGCAGGCAGCCAAGTGCCCGTGAGCATCATGGATGGAATCTTGTCTGCTGGCGAGCCGATGGTGCCCATTACCGTGCAGTTGCACTTGATGCAGCAGGGCTCTCAGCCTCCTTCTCAACAGCCTCCTCCTCAGCAGCAGCAGCAGTCACCCCAACAGATGTTTCAGATTGCACCGCAGACCAACGCTCAGGTGGAAGAGGGGATGGCCGTGAGCCACCCACGTCCCGAGCAGCACGTGCCGCAGCAGCAGCAGCAGCTGTGCGAGGTGACGGCGGCGCCGCCGCAGTTGACGCTGATGCAGTCCTCGGGGTCGAACGCGAACCCCCCGTCGTCGCCGCTGCTGCGCTGCGAGGGCGTGAATCTGCACAGACAGCCGAGCAGCATGTGCTCCGAGGACCTGGACACGGTGAACATGGTGATCGAGATGCAGCAGGCGCTGGAGGAGAGGTCGCATGGCGGCGGCACCATCTTCCAACCCCAGGAGGCCATGGATGTGCAGCAAGCGGCCCACAAGAGGCCCCATGTTGACATGAAACCCGAGCTGTTTCACCAGGATCAAAATCCAGCCAAGTCCTCGCATTTCATGACGCACAATGAAATGATGCAGTACACAACACAGAGTGTTCCACAGGGTCCAATTCAGACTGGCGTCTATCAGCAGACTCCAGCCGAAGTGGTGGAGCAGGTTATTGCTGATGCCAACAGGCAGATCCAGGCTGAAATGATCCAAATAATTGCGTCGGGCCAGAGCAGCAGCCAATGCTCCGATTCCAACACTTTTAACCTCATGGAGATGCGGTCGGACGCCACCTCGGAGACGCATGGGTTTCAGTCGAGTGCTCCCATGCTGCAGCAGTGCACAGGGAGTGGTATTTCCAATATGTTTCAGTCCAACTTGGACATGATGCAGGTGCACGAGCAGTGCCAGCCAGTCGACATGGTTCAAGGTGCTGTGTGCGACTTGAACAAACATTCCAATGAGAGTCCTCAGCCGACGAATCCCTTTCAGGTCACTCAGGCATCCAGCAGTTCCAGCCAGGCAGACTTCTTTCAGGCCGCCGTGAACATCGTTTCTTCTCAGCCGAGCAGTGGGACCCAAATGAGCAGCATGTACCACACCAATGAAATGCTTTCTCAGATAAACAAGGAGCTTGAGATCTTGAATTCATCCCAGGCTGACGGAGGTATAACGCAACAAAACGGAAGCTTGGAGCAGGCTGTATTCCAAGGCAGTGTAGCGCCATGCGAAAGCTCCCAGCAGTCAGATCTGTATCAGGTGGAGGGCTCCATGTCATCCATGAAGGTTGACTCTGGAATGCAGATATCTGCCCAAAATGAAAACCTAGGCCTCATTACTTCACAGCCACCAAAAACAAATTCACAAACAAGCCTTTTCCAAACCACTGGAGACTTATCTCAGCAGCCCAGCTTGTTTCAGCCCTCAGGAATTGTGCAACACAGCGGCAACACTCAACAGTTCAGCTTACTGGTGGTCGGAGACAGCATCTCGACTGAGGGAAAGAACGAAATTGAGATGTCAAGCCAACCACAAGCCATTGGACAGCTCATATCCAGTCACCCCAATGTAAACGCAGTACAGCCCGGCCTCTTTCAGACCAATGGTGGCATTATGGCCATGCAGACCAACGTAATGTCTCAGCAACCTACGTTGTTATTTTCGACAGGAAATATTCTACCTTCCCAGCCGAACATCAACATTCACATGTCCAACGCACCACCGCAGACCATAATAGAAATGCTGCCGGCGCAGCAGGGCAATGCTCAGACTCGACAGCCTGGCCTCTTTCAGGCGTCCGTGACGCCGGTCGCAGGTGGTAACCAACCGCCCGCCAGCCTGCCAGGCGATGGCATTATGTCTGTGGCAGGGCATGGCTCGGTCGTACCGATGGCCGCCGGAGAGATGTTGCCATCGCAAGTGCCGGAGAACCCTCCTCGGCAAGCCACGATATTCTCCGGGTTCCAGGGAGAGCCAGGGGGGGGCCTGGTGGCATCGCAGGCGTCGGCCCAGGCACCCAACGCGGCCGTCATGACGTCTCAGCAAAATCAGCAGGCGGTCACTCTGCAACAGCCGGACCTGTTTCTGTTCGTGGACATGGACACTGGTAAGTTACGGTGACCAAAAATATCTTGGAAATGGACCTCAGGGTTTTCATTTTGCAATAGCTATGGAATCTAGTAGAAGGAAGCAATGGCTTGATGTTTTAACAGTGGTCGTGATGACCTCTTGACCTTGTAACAGAATATTACTCAAGGGAATAGATGAAACAAACTTGAATGCTAAGTTTTGTTTCGTTGGTTCAGCGTTCACATGAACACAGTACTTTTGCTGAGGTACAGTGTGGCTCAAGATCGTTGAGCCGACACCGCCGAGATGCCGGATTCAACTCCCAGTAGCCACCTGTGATTGAGCCTGGTTCTCAAGTCTCGTAAGTTGATGCGTCTCAGCTTGACAACCAATGGCACAAAAAACATTACAGTAAATGTTTGCACTTAATTTTTCTAAATTTCAGTAATTATCATGCACAAACCACTACTGTCAATGGCAGAGCAGGTGGGAAGGTTCACCAGAGGTCACTGGGAGGGATCCCAGATGTAGTTTCCATTTGAGCCTTTCTCTAACATTGAGGGTTGCACTGCTATGAGTTCCAAATGGATACTTCATCTCATTCCATGATGCCCCTAGCCTGGGGGGGGGGGGGGTAAATGAAAGAAATGTATACAGTACCCTTTTGATTTTCAAAATGTGACCTCTTCTAACACCGGTCTGTCTTGCGCGTGTCGTCACCGCTCAGTTGGTCAGAGCCAGCCCTTGGGTAGCGGCGGGGAGCCCATGCAGCTTGGCTTGGGTGCTCTGCCAGCCTCCCACCTCCTGCAGGCGTCTGGGTCTTTGGGCGGCGGCGGGAGCGGCAGCAGCGCCGTGGGCGACGCCGCCGGTAGCGTAGCCGGTGCCGCCCCAGGCTCCTTGGCGCCTGCGAGTGGACACGTCGCGTCGGGTGGCAGGATGCAGGCCGCTGTCGCCGCCTGCGTCACAGATCCCATGGCCGGCCTCACCTTGGACCAGAACATGGAGCGCATCGAAGAGCTGCTCGTGTCGTTACAGGCACGGCGCGACGACGACCACCACCACCAGGACCACGATGTCAGGTGAGGGATCCAGCATAGCTGATGCTGCTGCACCGCACCTTCGATTAGCATGGTTGGCTGCGTCTGGTGCAAAAGAAGTTTCCAGTTCAACATACATTTACGCAGACCTGGCTTCACACTTGGGTTGCCTGCCTCCTTCAGGTACAAAATTAACCGGGATGCACGGGAAGGATATCTCACAAAACCCAGAACAGGGGAGAACGACATTTACATGAGCGGTGTATTAATACGCAGCTAACAAATGTGGAGAGGACGAGCGTGGAAAGTCCAGGTGGTAAACCCTGCTACGCAGACCTGGCTCTGCCGTGGGTTGGGGCTCCACACAAGCCTCCTGCCTCAGTCATAATTTTGTAAATTAGCTCTCGACTGCACTTTCCATCCATGGGAGGCGTAGGTGATCGGGTCAGGCTTTTAATCTGCTTGGACGTGAACTGTAGACTTAACCCAGATTTGTGCCACAAACACATGGCCTAATTCCTAAGACAACTCAGCCGCGTGGCATTTTATACTTTAGATCTGGGTAGTACATTCTTTCCCAGGTTTTGTTGGCTCTTGTATTAAAGGGTGCCTTGATTAAATTTGAACCGAATTGGTTTGCTGGAAGATAAGCGTTTATTGGGCTGGCTGGTTTTTACCCTGTCTGCTAAGAACTTTTTATTTTATTGGACTTTTGGCTGGTTGGCCTTGGTGAACACATGGCTGTATTTTTTAAGTGTATATATTTTTATGGGTCAACTTATAAAATCAAAGTTGGTGTTTTCTGTTAAATCTGATTTATTGCCTGATGTTCAGGGATTAATTTCAGCTTGCCAACCCTTTGTCTATCCACTGCTAGATGAAGGTCTCCCCATGGAGTGTCAGTTACAACAGTTGTTTGACCATACTTCACACTGATCAGTGCAGGTTGGCGAGCATAGAAGTTACACATCCAGGGCTTAATTTTTACAGCAGCCCTGTCTGGGTTAGTGATCTGAAAAATAGTCTCGCTCCCAGGAAACCACATCCAGTTGAGCTCTCTTCGCAGCTACTAGCCAAGTGCCACCTACCAGTCAACCAGTGAACGCTTAAAACGTTCAGTGAGAAATTATTTTTAGCCTGTGCGTAATAATGGTGGATCAGATTAGAAACGTCCAACACGTATTTATGTGAAATAGTGTAGCAGGATCGGAATGGTGAGGAAACTACACATACCAATCATGAATTGTTTTGGAACAATGCGCCTCTTCAGTGACTTGCTGGGTGTGTTGCAATTAACTCGTTTGTTTAATTTGTTGCAGTATGCAGGAATGAACATACGACCACCATTCCGAGTGAGTGATGGATTTCTGCCCAAGGCAACAACAAAAGGCACTTCTGCACGGCTTAACCATGGCTGTACAAGCTAAAAGTGGTAGTATGGATTTTAGTGAATCTGGTCTCAGTTGTTGACGTTAGTCGTGTGTGTGTGTCAACGTGCTCTGGTGTATTGGAGTGGTAGCTGATTGTGTCTTACGTGGACAAAATAAGCTTTTAACACTGTGATTCAATGTTTGTACGTGGTCGTGATGTGTCCGCGTCTTAGTCGGCAGCTCTTTGTTACACGCTGAAATGGCCTTTCACAGACCGTGTAGGTGCGTCTAGTGGTCGCTTGGGCCCTGTTATCCTCCCCCCTCATTGGCTTTTTCGTTTGGTTTGTATTACATACGCTTCCCGCACTTTACACATTATTGCTGCTGTGATTTCAGGCCAACGGATGATGTCTGTGATGCTTAATTACATACAGTTGCCGAACTTTAGTGTGTGTGCGCGCGTGTGCAATGACATTTATTATGCCTGTCCCCTTGTGGGGGGTTGTTATTTTCTCTCTCATTACAATGTTGTTTATAGCATCAGCTGTGAATTTCACTTCCGAAGTAAACCTGTTGAGACCGCGGTTTTTTGCTGTTACCAGTCAGTATGCGTTTTTAACTTTAGAGTTTTTTTGGAGCCCCATTGAGGTATACGTGACTGACGTGTCTGTCTGTCTACTCTACGAGCTTATCTGGTGGGGGGGGGGGGGGTTGTCGTTTCGTGACAGGGAATGGTTTTCAAACGTCGAAGGTTTACCGTTTTCCAAGTCGGAGGCATCAATCGGGACATCCTTCGTGTCGAGCGAGTTTCTTTTTTGGAAATTTTGTACACAGTAGTGTATTTAAATGTATTTTATATGAGGAAAAAGTGCCCCTTCGGTGCAAATGTTGTTCACTGTTGGGTTAATAGTAAAACAAGTCTCAGTATAAGCCTAAATATCTTTTTTTATATATATACACAATATTGTACAATGCAGTTTAGTTGGCTTCCTTGTAGAACTTGTTTATTTTGTGCTGGCTTTTCTCAGCCCTGTATATTATTATATTATATATAAACATTTACTGCTTTAGTTTGCTGTGCTGTTTTAAGCAGAGATGGGGTTTCCTCCTCGTATTGGGTTTTGTAGAAAGTGTTTTGAAAGCACAACATTATCAATAAATTACTTCTACAGTGGAACACTGCGTGATTTCTTTGCGCTGTCGGTCACCACAATGGCTTGACACACACACGCACACTTCACGGCAGGTGTTTAAGGTAAACTGTAAGCTCTGGGATTACATGTTGGCCATGCCTCTGGGAATTCACGTAAATCGGTATTGGATTAAGATGGACCAGGAGAGTGGACTTCACCGACCCTGTCATAAAAACACCCGGCCCTGAACTCCAGCCCGTGCCTGCCAGAGCGTCCGGCTTTCCATGCCTGCCACACTTCTCACGTCATTTGCAGATTATGTGTCAGCTGCCACACTCGGTCATCATCATGACGGCTTGCCGGGTTAATTGGTGGACTTTAAGTACCACTTGTGGCAAGGTCACGAGCGCACCGGTGTCATGTGGCATTGCTAATGCTTTCTTAGGCACCGTTTGTGTAACATGGGTCAACATCTGAGATTTAGTGATGGTAACCGTAGTTATAACATAGTTTTGAGTGTTCTCCCTTGCGTCACGTTATAATCGTGTTACATACACTCGACCAAGTGTTGCACTGCAGTACCTTCCATGGCCACCAAGCAGCGACACCCCCCCCTCCCCTTGCAAGCTGGGAACCGCCGCACCGCATTCCCGCTGCGCTGGTCTTCAATCTTTCCATACCTGTGACGAGACGAACAATCCATTAGGAAATCTGGCAGAAGTGTGTGCAACGCGTTGTGGAAATTTATATCGCAGCTACCGCTGAGCTGGCTTCAAGCGACCTCTGCTCCACACACCCGCCCTGCCACGAACGGTATTAATGATAGCCACACCAATTTTATATTTTTTCCTGGAATTTAACCGAATTAGAAGCACAAACAAATGAAATGTTATGGTTGTTTTGCACACTCGTCATTGGCCGAGCCTAAACCATGAACTCGAAGCTTGAGAAAGCCTGTTAATAAACCACAGCCTGGACTCGAACCCAGTCTGGAACTACCCAGCACCTCTGACATTTTCCACATTTAACAGTGGTTCGTACCACTTGTGCTCATTAGGAAATGTTATATACCATGTCCCACCGTGTCCCCAAGTGTTCATTATTTCCAGGGGTGATCTTCCCTGTGCCACGAGAGAAGGGTGGACGAAGAGGGGCAATTGTTTTCGCCTGTGGTCGCCGTGCTATTTGTCACGATGCAAATTGAAATCTTCGATTTCACAGATAAGATGGCGATATCGGTTTGCCAGAACGTAATTGTACCTTAGTTTTTAACAGGATCGCGTTTTGTGCTCCAACGCACTTTAATTACGGAGAACGATTTTCTATTAAGATATTTAACGGCAGTTCACTCGCCATTACTCTGCCACGAGCGCTGTAGCTTTGCCCGTCCAAGGACGGGTGTATTTCAGTAAACCTGAAACTTTCAAGCGAAAAGCAGACTGCAATGTGATATTCATTGCATCAATTCGTGTGCAATTTGTAATGCCGTGGTGACAGACATTTCATTTAAATCGTTCATCATGACGTCATTTTTACTTCGATATCTCAACAGCGTTACGGAGATTGCGTGACGCAAGGGTTCTGCCTTTGTAGTGAGGGTTGTAAGTTGACGCTGAGGAGGGGGGGGGGAGGAGGCGCCTCGCCCACCCATGTGGAGTGACCACCTGCTAATCATTAATGGGGGGGGGTCCATTTGTAAGACGTCACCTCTGCATGATTATTAATGAGGGGGGGCTGTTCGATGTGGAGTAACGTCACCTGCTCATGATTATTAATGAGGGGGGCTGGCCGGCGTAGTGACGTCACGCGCGGGTCACAAACTGACATTCAGTAATAACGCACGTGGCTGTCACAATATGACGCCATGCTGTTTAAAACAATTGCAGAGCCACAGGCCATAATGTGCGGCCAGCGAGGCTATTTTAAAACAGATTTATTTTTGTGTTTAGTTTATTGTCCTGCCCCTCCCCCCCGTACCTTCGATTAGCACCGTTAGCTACGTTCGGTGCGAAAGAAGTTGAACGAACATGCATCGGCCTGGCGGGCATGCTCCGCGGTCGACCGACTCCTGCGTCGTCGACGAGATTAACGAGGCCTCGACGGCCATCCACACATCGACACCGAGACGGACACAATTCACACACACGGACAACGAGACGCAGATAACGACGAATACACTCGCGCAACTGAACCTTTCGGCGGGACCCCAGGGTCCCGTAAGCCCCCGGGGCTCTCGCATAAATTGCATTGCGACGTCATTGTATGTCTGTTGAAGGCGAACGACACGACAATGTATTCCTCTCGACGAGCTCAACACGATGCGCTAATCAAAGTTTCAAAGTTTTGTTTCTTCCGCGCATTCGTCCTCGCTGCTGCTGCTGCTGCTGCGCTTGGACACGACAGGACGATCCCCGCGCCAGGCGGGTCGCGGCGTTTGTGTGCACGGTGGGACGGAGTCGACACAAATTTATTGATTTAAAGCTTTCGTGACTGCAATGATTCATCTTCTTTGGTTCTTTCGGTAAAGTCACGTAGAATGAGAATAAAATAATAAATTGATAAAATAAAATAACACAATAATATTCTCACGACGTTTCGGCCACAACACAAGCGGCCTTCATCAGGTGAAGGGGGCGAGACTGTCTGGTAGGACAGCGCTGGAGTGAGAGAGCCACGTTCAGATCACGGCTTTTAAGCTGTGTGAGAGGAACAAAGAGCCTTGACGAAGGAATTAGCATAAAATTTAGCATTGAAATGGCTGAATGATTAGCTTGTGACTGGTCACAGAAATAGCTATGTTAAAAGTTAAAGCATACACATCCGCAGAGGCACCCTCTGCGGATTCAGCCATTTCAATGCTAAATTTTATGCTAATTCCTTCGTCAAGGCTCTTTGTTCCTCTCACACAGCTTAAAAGCCGTGATCTGAACGTGGCTCTCTCACTCCAGCGCTGTCCTACCAGACAGTCTCGCCCCCTTCACCTGATGAAGGCCGCTTGTGTTGTGGCCGAAACGTCGTGAGAATATTATTGTGTTATTTTATTTTATCAATTTATTATTTTATTCTCATTCTACGTGACTTTACCGAAAGAACCAAAGAAGACAAATTTATTGATGACGATGTTGACTTCTGTTTATAATAAAACAAATTGTTGACGGATGTCGGTGTACCACCTGACGTCCCCGGTTCCCAACACGCTGATAAGTCGAAGCAGGAGGATTGTGAAATCCCTCCGCTCACGGCGATTGTTTTCAGGCTCGGTGTGCCGCCAAGAGGCCGGACGTAAGGACGATGAGTGCCGTGGAATGAGAGGCTGGGATTTTTCGTTTCCACACTTTTTTTGTTTGCATATATCACACCAAGCCTGGTCCTAATAGGAGGATTCGCTGTTAAGTTAAAAAGAAAGTAATTAAAATGTTCCCCATTTGACAAAAGCGACGTCGGTTTGAATTCCGATTTTTCATGTAACAAAAACATTGATATCTCCCGCACTGTTTATGACACACATCATAGTAAGCTTCAATACAATGGAGGATTCACTTTGTTTATAAAAATAATAAAGCTACGAGAAAAATAACGCGGCCAGATTACACCACCCCCACCCTGCCCCTGACTGGGCCAGTGCCGAGGCCTGCGAGGCCGTGACCCGTGCAGGCCTGCGAGGCCTCTGTGCCCGCGAGGCCGTGACCTTTGCAGGCCTGCGAGGCCTCTGTGCCTGAGGCCGTGACCCGTGCAGGCCTGCGAGGCCTCTGTGCCTGAGGCCGTGACCCGTGCAGGCCTGCGAGGCCTCCGGGCCTCCTTACAACCTCGGCCGCCCCGGCTGGACTCGTGTCCGAGACCTGTGAACGAACTTAGCCTCGAACCCCTGCAGCCGTGGGATCTGGCCTTGTATCACCCGCATTGATGTTGATCTTGTTATAACCTGAACAAAATACTTGTCATCTTTTTATGCCGTTAACATTGATCGTGTTAGCCACGAGGTTTTTTGGGTTAGATCGCGTAAACATAAATGTGTCGTTAAACCCGCCACCACCCGACAGACAATTAAGGTTTGTCACGTAAACAAGACGTGCCAATTCGTTACTAGTACAGCACACCGGTGTGTTGGAGTATACCCACAACACCTACAATCCAGAGTACGACGTTTCGCCAGTAAGTACAACTGGCACCAACAGGCGACACAGCCAGTGACCATGGTGACGAGCGTTAACCACAACCACGTCCTGCACCCCCCTCAACATCCTTGCATACGCCTCGTGTCGTAAGGAGTGTGGTCATTTTGGTGAGGAGGTCTGCGGGTCGAGGCAAACGCAACTGGAGAAAATTTTTGAATTTGTACCGAGGTTTATTTTCCGTTCGGACGGTGATCAATTCTGGAGTTGAGAATAAATCTTCTCGACAGAAGAAAATAAACTACCCCCACCACCTCTGACTGGACTCTGTCTCGCGTGCATGCGTTGTTGTTTGGTGTCACTGTGTTCATGGACCCAACAACTTTAACAACTTTTAGTAGTCACGCATTGTTTCGTGAGCGGTTTCATCACTCGAAGTCACTCGGCCCACGCGATAAGCGATATTAATTGAGACACCCACACAGTTATCATTACACGCTACGAATCTATATATATACACAAACAGTACAAAGTCAGTGAACACACACACACATATCGAACCCTGTCGCGGACGTTACGTGGACACCGTTTCAAGATTGGGCCCGCCAACACGAACCCGGCGCCCATGCTTCTATTTAATCCCCCCCAGTTTGTGTTCGTAACTTGAAGTTACCCAGTTCTCACACCGAGCAAAAAACACGCGCACCACATTTCACCTTCGACAAACCTCCCGATGCCACGATGCTTAGAAGGCCAGACGGTGCCTGGAAGACACACACAGGGCGAGAGCGGAACTATTCAAACATCCGAGGCGCGTCCACGATCTCACCTGGTCGCGCCATCGACCGCATTGCGAACACTTGGCTGTCTTCACTCCGTTGAAGGATGCACGCGATCCACGCCCCTCCCGAGCAGACAATTAAGCTGCTAAC